TTGATATACGCCGATAATAGTAGAGTAGAAACTACCGAGAAAATCCAAAAACGAACAACTTACTCATAAACTAGATTAAAAAAAAACAAAAAAGGTCTAGCGTCGTTTATCTATTGGAGCAATATTTATGGTAGAAAAATAAACCGTATTTAAATTTAAACTAATGGAATTATTGTGCCATAATTTGTAAAATATGGTTTATTTAGACCTTTTTGGTTTATTTCAATTATTAGGAAAATCACATTAGATAACAAAAAACGTCTTTCTCTGTCAGAAGCTATGTGTTAAAAGAAACAAAATTGATTACTTGTCATTTTTCGATCGGAGTAATATTTCTGGCGGTAACACCATGGCGCACTGTACAAATTTGCCGTTTTACCTATAATTTTATTTTGGGTTTTTGCCGATTATTTTGAAAATCTCTTGGAAAATTAAAAAATTCACCAACAAAAGAAAATTACCTTTCATATGGTCTATACTTCTGGTAGAAAAGTTGATCACAGACAAAAAAATTAAAAATACACACACATTATAGTAAAATCAATAAATTCCTCACTAAGCTCTGAATCTAAAATTTAAAATAATGTAGAATTTCTTTTTCAAAAATTATTATATCAAATTTTGACCAAAATCTTAATATTACTACCTCTCATAAAAGTATATAACTAAACTGTTAAATTTTGTTTTAGATTCCAAAAGCAACAAGGCACTATTGGCTTTACAATGCTGTTTATTTTTTGTTTTTAGTTCGTTGTTATAGTCTATGAACACGTCTTTTCCTGGTAAATTTGGTCCGATTTTTACGTGTAGCAATTTTTTTAAAGGCTCAAGTTGTTTTAATAGTACTTTACATGGGTAATTTTTTTAAATAAAAGCACTTACGCAGGAAAAAAGTAGAAAAACGTATAATTTCATGATTTCATTATTTTATAAAAACACAGACGACATTTTCTACCAGAAAAAATGGTTTAATCGAAAAATCACAAGACACGTTTTTTTTCGCCTTTTGTTTTACTCTCTGATGTCAAAACTTTTGAGCTACTTTTGAGCTTTACAAGAATTTTAATTTTAGATTCTGAGGGTATCGAAAAATGTATTGGTTTTACTAAGATGTTTATTTTTTTTTATTCTGTGTACAACAATACGACCATAATCTTGCTCAGATATACATGCACTGCACTATTTTTAAAATGGAATGTTGTCCAGATAGTACTTTTGAGAAGTCATTTTTGATTTTCTAAACGGTTTTCATAATATCTGGAAAAACCAGGATAAAACGTAAGAAAAACAGGAAACTTAGGAAAATAACGCTTTTATTATTTTTCAATTTTGTTATATATTGTAATTCAGTTTAAAATATTTGTGGATTTGAAATGTGGACAGAAAACTTTTATTCGCCTTTTCTAGACGTGGTAAAATTTTCAAAAAATTTAAGCCATTTTTGAGCTATTTATAGACATTTTAATTTTACGATTTTTGCACGTAATGTTTATTCGGTAGGTACTCAGTGGTAAAATTTTTAGACTTAACAGAAATACTTGAAAATTTAACAGGAGGTTCATTAAATCTTACTTTGTGGTAAAAAAAAACAAAAAAATTGAGTTGGAGTGTTATTTTTTTTTATAAAGGAATTGTGATACTACATTTTGACGAAAAATTATTTGAGTAAAAAATTATGTGAAACAAAGCTAATTTTTCAATTTTTTTGTTTTTGGAACATATGTGTATTGCCGTTTTAAGAAGGATGGTAAAGTCAGAATTGAGAGAACTGCTAAGTTTCTTAAGACTTAAGAAATTATAGCTTTTTATAGTTTAGATATTATGCAGATGTTACATGTTTATGTTAAATAACTCTATATTGCCACTTTATTGTACGTTTGTTGTAGTCGAATAGTCATGAATACGTATTTTCATACAAGGCGTCGCGGGTTTAAGCCGGGAGTTCGGTTAAGGATATTTTTCTCTTTTACCTAAATAGGGAAAAACCAAATGCATTTCAAGTGTACCTAGATACCTAGCTATCGCTCGCTCGGACGATTTTAATCGAAAAATATCCCTTGATTTGTTGTGTAAACTTTTCTACCAAAAATCTTGCTCCGATGTATCAAGTGCAGATTATTTTCTAAAAGGAAATTGTATTTCTATGATTTAGGGATGTAATTTTTGTGATTTTTCAATCGGTTTTCATAATAACTGGGAAAAACCGGGATAAAATGACGGAAAAACGGAAAATGTACGAAATGTAGGAATTTGTAAAAAAATATTATGCCTTTTTTTTCTGTATACAACTTTTTTACCAGCAATTTTACTCCGATTTACAGTGATAGTTCTTTTTCCTGAAAATAAATCTGAATGGAAAGGTACTTTAGGGAGGTCATTTTTCTATTTTTCTAAGAGTTTTCATAACAAAAGTGATAATCTGGGAAAAATAAGAGAAAACCGGGAAAAACGCAGGAAAACAGGAAAATCGATACAATATTAAACAAATATTATTAAAGAAAATAAATAAAGACTATTCAATTATTTTACCATAATGTGACATACATATTGTTAACAAAACATCATTATCTACTGAATTCTGCTCAGACTAGTTTTTTCGTTAGCATTGGTTTATCGTTGCTTGCAGATATGCATTAAATTCTCTTCTGTTTCCTACCTTCCTGACTTCCCACCTCTAACAGTTGCTGCACGTGTCCCCATTATCCTAGGACAACTTTTCATACTGTTTCTTTTTCATTTCATGCTTTTTTTTCATTATTTAATCGAATTTCATTTAAAGAGGATAATATTTTTGATAACCATACCAGTACCGTAGCTTATATCTTAAAAATAATTGGCATGTAAAAATGTTATAGTCATATTAGTTTTGTTTTTTAAAATAATTTCTTTTTCTAGAAACAAAGGTCCCTACAGACCTCGAAAATATCCTCTTCTTTATTGTTTTATTTGTGTTTAAACTCCAATTTTAAGAGGGCGTGATACGCTTAAGAACTGAGTCCGTCTTACTAACGTATCACATCAAATTTACGTTTAGCAGGACCAATATTATGCTGTTAGTTTTAATATTTAAATGAATTGACCTATTCTTCTTATTATTATTATTTATCTTATAGACTATTAAGATCCGTTTCCACAATAATAGCGTCCTTCCACTTCTTCCTGTCTCTCGACTCTTTCTCAACCCCAATCATCCTAAGGTCTTCCTTGATTTTATCAGTCCTTCGTTGTCTGGGTCACACTCTAGACCGTTTTGTGTTCGGTCTCCGTGTTGTTGTGTTCCCCATTTACCTATACAGTAGCAAAAACCTAAGTCCAACCCTGTTAATTAGGTAAAATTTGGGATGAGAATTGCGTGCATCATGATAATGATCCATAAAAGAATAGTCTAAAAATATACGGAATGATTCACAGTGTGTGCTTACCCCATTTGTATGGTTATATTTTGCATATATTTACATTCTGATTTTAGGAATTTTTAAGTTTTGTTACAGCCGATGTTTTCGAATACTTAGAGTTTTCACTACATTCAAAGAATATCCTATCAATTTCGTTTTTAAAATGTTTGATTTCCGTCAATTCGTTGACGAAATATTCTACTTTTAAGTTTAGGTAGAGGGAGAGTAGTGCCGACTACTAATAACTGATGATAATAATTGACGACGAAAAATATAATGAATATCAAAGTGAAAATCAATTTGAAAGGGGTTAAAGTTTGACCGAGTTATAGGGTTTCGACAGCTGATGCGGTGAAGTCGTACGATACTCTTACAGTTCTTATAGTTGTCCGCAACTATTATTATAATCAATAATAATGCAAAATTAATAATATATAAATATAAAAATAAGTTAATGTTAAAAATAGAGTTGTTTTTGTTATTATTAACAAAGTGCGTTGTGTTATTTCGTATAATACCTATATGATTTGTTTAATACTTAGAGAGAAAAACGTGAAAAATTAAAAGACACCCAGGTGGTTGTCGCTCTCAAGGTAATCACAATGCTTTAGACGTAATAACCGAGCGTGAGTATAAATGCCTTGCAATAAACATAATTGATTCGGTATAGCATCCGCGAGTGATACATTTTCACGTTCAACCGAATAGTTAGTAACGTTACATGCGAAAAATCAATTGAAAAACAATTTTAAAATCCACTTAATAAATATTATATTTTTAAGAACATTTTAAACAGCTGTTTTGTACTACGTATTTTATAATATTAATATTATAATCATTATATTGCGGTGATGCACTTTGAAAACATTACAATTACATTTACAAGTGATGTATACATTCTGTAACAAATATAAAAAAAAACATATATTTATACATTATATCACTGATTTTCTTTTAATCTAATAGTATTATATTTAGATGTCTTAGAAAATTTAATTTCACATTTTTTTACACCACTTCGAAACTGAAAATAAACGGAGCTTAACAAAACCGTTTTTGAGTGTGTTAATAAATTTCTAGAAATTATGTTATTATTTATTATTTCATGTTATATTTTTTAAATATTCGAACCAAGTTCAATTTACAAGAATAAAAAGAACGGTGGATTAACAATGAGTACAATGCTTGGATAACAAAACGAAGGAATAAATATTTAAAAGAGAGAAAATATTAAACGTGTACGCCATTCCGCCGAAGAAAATATACCAAAAATATTTTCCTTTTTATTTTTTAACTATAAATATTAAATAACTAAATAGTAAGTAACAAATAAATATGCTATTTATTGTAAACTCGCAAAAATAATTAAATCGCGTCGTAATAATATTTAATTTTATTATTATCAAGTGGTAAAATTTGCATTTGTCTAATATTTCACGATTGAATGCGAATCATTATATTGGACTTTAAAAATACACTAATATTTTATTACTGCAGTATTGTTGATTATTCGAATATGGGTATGTAATTTCGTTAATGCACAATTATGGATATTATTTTAAACAAAATATAGGTAAATATATATATTTTGGTACTTATTATCTTTGCGACTTTTCTAGCGGAAAAAACTACAACTTCGATGATGGGGATGTCTCGTCTGGATCGTCACGTTAAAGCTTTTAGTCTATTCGTCAGCGTTGCGCAACGCACATTGGCTTTTTTTTACAATCCCGTTTATTGAAACTCCGTAGTGAAAATTATTATTTGGCTAACAGTTTTCCATATAATTGTAAATACCGCATTTATTCAGATTAATAAGGTATGAATTATAATATTGTTATTGTGTACATAATACCTACAGTTTTAATTAATTTTTAGATAAGTAATTATATACAATTTTTAAAAGACATATATTGGTGACCGGTCAATTTATAGTCGCGATGGGATATTTATTTTTCGAAACAATATTTTAAAATTAAAAATTCTACAAATTAATTAAATTTTAAAATTTCAAAAAATTATTTACCCAAATTAATATAAATTATTATTATACAATATACAATATACCTACGTAGAAGGTATATTAATTTCAATATTAAAATCTTCATGATTTATTAATTATATCTAGTTTCACTATATTAAATTATACTTATTATAGTAATTGCTATTACTAGTATAATTAAATTATTTATTTATCATATTTAAGTAAATAAATAATTAAACATAATTGTCAGTTAAGTCTGATATTGTGTGAAATATTTATATTAAATATTGGATTACCTATATAGTTTAATCTAACGTTTTTACGCAAGTTTTGTATAATAAAGTTTTTTTCCGCCGTTTTCTATAGTTTATCCTATAAAATTGCATGTATAATATAAATACGTTTAAAGTAACACTGTACCTATAATAATTAATTATTATTATTATAATGAGAAAATACGTGAATACATTTTAAAACTATTTTTCGGTCTTTTTTTAAATTTGTCGATCACTAATTGAATATTTGATTATAATCTGAAGTGCTGCTATTGTAGTATAACTACAATATTTGTTTGATAGCATAATAGTCAATGAAAAACCGAAACAATAATAATATGGTAACATTTAACTTTTTAAGATTTTATTTTTTTTTTTTTAAAAGAACATTGTATTTTTGATAGTACGATACATTAAGTTAATAGTATTCATGTGTAACCATTTTACAAGTATATAGAGATATTTTTCAATAGATCGATTTTTTTTTTTTTTTTTTTTTGAAGATATTTTGACCATACACATTAAATTGCTTAAACTGTATTTTATAATTTTTTTTTTTATGTTATATAACTATATTCATTGTGTAAATACAGAGTCATCCATTCATATACTGAGTAATAACTAATAATTATTGTTATGCAATTATAATATCGATTACTTAATCGATAAATGTCTTTCTTCATTTAGATTCTTAGCCGGTTAAGGAATGTATTTTTTACATTTTATATTTTATATTTACATTTTTTAGTTTTACAATGATGTTAATTTTATTTTTTTGTCTGTGAACAACTTTTCTACAAGATATCTTGCTACAATTTAAAATGATAGCATTTTTTCTAAAAGGAAATCTGAATAGGGTAGTACTTTAGGATGGTCATCTTTTGATTTTCTTAGGAGTTTTTCCTATAAATGAGAAAAAAATGAAAAAACACGAAAATAAATACGAAACTAAACAAATATTATTGAGGAAAATATTTAATGCATATGTTATTATTTCACCATAATATGACATAAATATTGCTGACAAAGCAGCACCTTACCTAACCTAACCTAACCGAATTCCGTTCAGAATCATTTTTCGTTAGCAATGATTAATAATTGCGTGCATATATATAAATTCAATTTCCTCTCTACCTTCCCAACTTTTCACCTATAACAGTAACCCACCCACGTGTGAAGAATGTCCGTCTTTTTTTTATTGCCCCTGTTAACTATCATAAATGAAGTAAGGTAATAGAAATTAAACTAAGAGAAATAAAGTGATACTACTCACGGAGAGGCCACTGTTGTGTATGGTCAGTTTGGAAGGTAGGTTATATAGGATCATTTATTGTATACACTATATGCAACGATAGATCGAATCAAACGAAAAACGATTCTGAGTTGAATACCATTAGTCGATTTTTTCTCTTAATTAATCCCGAGGTAACAGAAATCAGCAAAACATGATCAATATATTCCCCATTTTTACTACGTTTTCCCAGTTATTAGGAAACATACAAGGAAAATCAAAACTAGATTACGGGTAAAAAAGTTGTAAAATGCTGATACTGGGAACGGATGTGCACTGTTACACTGTTATAGGTAGGAAGTTAGAAAGATAGAAAACATTAAGTTATTTAAGCATATCAACAGCAACGATAAACCATTGCTAACGAAGTTTGATTATGCATATTTTAAAAGGCCGTAATATTTATGATTTTCGTCAAAATTTGATAATAAAATTCTTATTAAAAAAAAAAAAACTTTAAACTCAGTTTTAGATTTTGAGCGGAGCGAATTTTACTATGATGTTTATTTTTTTTTATACTAGGTACAAACATTCTATCGGAAATCTTGCTCTGATATATATGTGCGACACCTTTTCTGAAAGGAAATATTATTTAAATAATACTTTAAGGAAATTTTTTATTTTTCATAACATCTGGAGAAAACCAGGATAAAACGTAAAAAAAATGGGAAATTTACGAAAATAATGTTTTTATTATTTTCAATTTTGTTATTCGTTGTAACTCTGTTAAAAATATTTTTAGAGACTTAAAATTTTAATAAAATACTTATTTTTAGCCTTTTATTTGCCTTTTCTAGACGTGGTAAAATTTTCAAAAATATAGCCATTTTTGAGCTATTAATAGACATTTTAATTTTGCGAGTTTTGTACGTAATTTTTTTTCGGTAAGTGGTACTCTTTGGTAAAATTATGTATTATGTACCTGAATTGCCGGTTTAAGACTTAGCTTCAAAATTAAAGCTTTTTGAAATTTTGATATTATGTATGTTATGTCAAATAACTCTATATTGACAATTTTTAAGCATGTCTGTCGCAGTCTAGTGGTGGAACAAACCGGTTGTCATCCTAGAGATCCCGAGTTAATACTCGTGTTCCGTAAACAAATGTATTTTGGGTGTACTTAGACATTGCCAAGACATTGCTCATCGAACTATTTTATTGAAAAATACTCCTCTATTTGTTATGCAAACTTTTCTACTCGAAATCTTGCTCCGATATATCAAGTGTAATATCTTTTCTGAAAGGAAATTTTATAAAAATGGCAATTTAAAGAAATCGTTTTTTGATTTTCCAGGAGTTTTTCCAATAACTGGAGAAACCCAGGAAAAAACGGAAATTTTTCGAAATGTAGTAATTAGTAAAAAATATTACTGCTCTTCTTTTCTTGAGAACATTTTTTTTTCTGCCACTGTTGTATGTTAGAAGTTGGGAAAATAGTAGAGGGGAAACTTAATGCATATCTGTATGCAACGATTGACCATTGCTAACGAAAAAACGATTCTGAGCGGAGTTCTGTTTATAGTGTTGATTTGTTAACAAAATATACAAATCATATTATGATAAAATAATTGCATAATATACATTATATACTTTGTTTAATAATATTTGTTTAATAATTTATCTATTTCCCCGTTTATCCTACGTTTTTTTTCCCCGGTTTTCCCACATTTTTTTCCTTTTTTCCCCCATTTATTGGTAAAATTCCTGGAGAAATCAAAAAATAGCCTCCTAAAAGCACCACCTCAGTCAGATTTCCTTTCAGAAAAATTACTATCATTGTAAATCGAAGCACAATTGCTGGTAGAAAAGTTGTCCACAGAAAAAATTATAATAATATAAATCATTGTAAAATCTACATTCAGCACATTCCTCGCTCCACTCAGAACCTTAAACTTAAAACAATGAAATCATAACGCCGTAAATTTGACAGTTTCCATTTTACGTTTTTTTTTTTTTTTTTTTTTCATTTTTTCCCTATTATTGTGAAAACCCCATTTAAAATCAAAAAATTACCTGCTTTAAGTCCCAACTTAATAAAATTTCTTTTCAGAAAAGATGATATACTTGATATATCGGAGCAAGATTCTTGTTAAAAATTGTGTACACATAAAAATAAAATTGTTAAAAATAAACATCATTAACAAATAACTAATACATTCCTCGCTATACTCAAAATCTAAAAAAAAATATGTCTTCGTACAATCAAATATATACAATTATTATTATTATTATTATTATATGCTGTTGTAAAAACATATCAGTACCAATATAAAATCCATTGATTATTAATTAAACCTTTTTGTTTTCATTGTGACCTTTCAATAAATTATCTTATATTACGATCGTGTTACGCTGCCGTTATCATACACTACAGTTATTTATTTACATACGTATAGATACTTCAATAAACAACTATTTTCTAAAACGATAATTCTATTCAGACATTATCTGTATTTTTATCTTTTTTAGGATAAAATATATAATTTTAATGTCAATTCGTTTTCCAGTGCACAGAAATATTAGATAGTTATTCTCATATGAGTATAATAATATACCAATATCCATTATAATCAATCGTATTCATTTATACAGAGTGATGAATCTGTCATAAGACACTCATTATCTCGGAAATTATGTACTTTTTGGAATTTTTTTTTTAAAACTTAAGCAACAAATAGTTCTAAAATGTTACTTTATCTTTTTTTTTGTCATCCTTATTTTTGGAAGTAAAACGAATACCTACTTTTGATTTTTAAATGACCACCTACAAAAAAATTCCATAAATACATGTTTTGATGATATATATTTTGTTACATTCACATTGTAATTTTTAAATACTTGGTTTATCAAATTTATTTATTTATTTATTATGATTTATTTTGATTTTATTTTTTAGTAACTTAATAATATTATTATACATTTGGAAGTCTGGTTTCTCTTATTGTTGTTATTTATACAGGAAGTGAGATTGTTGATTAGGAAACTATTATATTTGGTGCTGATGTAGTTGATGTTATTTTTATTTTTATTATTTGTGATGTTAACATTATGTTTGTATTTAATATTTTAATTTATTTTATTAATGGTTTTTAAGTTATAACCATTAATTATTGCAATTTTTTTATTGTTTTTAGTTTTTATGTGTAGTAGTTATTGTTCAAAGGTATGCTTTCTAATCCATGTATCATTGACCTAAAATATGTTCATTTTTGTGTAAAAGGATGATTGGAATCATTAGGAATTATGGCATCTGTTTGTGTGGGTTTTCTATAGATATTAAACTCAAATTTATTATTAATAATTTTAATGTTAAAGTCTAGAAAGTTTAATTGATTATTATTTTGTATTTCTATAGTAAATTGTATATATTTATTTAATTTGTTAAATCACTAATCATATTCTGTGCCTATAAATATTATAAAGTGCTATCTACATATCTGTAATATTGTTTAAGTTGGGATTTTTTATAATGTGTTTGTTTTCATAATTTTGCAGGTATAATTCTGAAAGAAGAGCACTTAATGGACTATCAATAATTAAATCATCTGGTTCTGTATACACTATATTGTACTTAAAATAGTTTTGGTTAATAATCATTTTAGCAATTTTTATGGTATCATTAATTTCTTTAGTGTTCATTTTATTTAGTTTAGTTAAATTATCTTTTAAAATTTGTATTTTTCTAATTGGGGACTAGAAGGATATATATTTTTGATGTCTAATGAAATCATTTTACATTCTGATGGTATATTGTAATCTTTATTATTATTAATGAATTTATTAGTATTTTTGATGGAATGTAAGTTATTCATATTTAAGTTGGTTTTTTATTTAAATATTTTATAAGTTTATATGAAGGGGATATTTTTTTTAAATTTACTAGAAACCTTATTGGATGATCTTTTTGTAATTTGATAAAAGGATGTAATTGTGGGGCTAGTGTATTGTTATTATTGATTAACATTTTTTTGTCTTTGGGTTTTCTTATTTCTGTGGCATTTTTAATAGTATTATTAATTAGTTTTTGATATGTATTAGTCGGATAACTGTTTAGTATTGTTACATTATTATTTTTTATGAAATCATATATTTTGTTAGTTACTAATTGTTTATATATAATTACTATAGCGTTTGATCTATCTACTGGTAAGATTTCTGCATTATGATTTTTTATTTTATTGGATATAGAATTAATAATTCTGTTTTGGGTTGTGGTTTTATTATTATATGATTTGATTTTGTACGTGTTATTTAAAGATTTTTCAGTGATATTAATTATGATATGTTTAGTTATTATTACTATTTGGTGTATAATTAATTATTGATTGACATAGAATGATTTCTTTTTCGATTAAATTGTAAATAATATTATTATGTAGATTATATTTTCTTCCTTTATTTAAAAGTTCTGTTTCTTTTTGATTGAGAATAATACGAGTAAGGTTTGATGAATTTTGGTTGAAATGAATGTGAAATGGTAAATGTAACAAAATATATATAGGCAAACAGATAGAAACTTTAAATCCAGATTCAAAGAGCACACATCTAAAATTAGTTTAAAAAAAGAAAATCTCGAATCCAACTTGACAAACATGTTTTAGAAAGTAACCACAGCATCAAAAATAACATTGAAAAAGTTTTATCAATAATACACACACAGAAAAACAAATATTTAAATTCCGTACTAGAAAGTTATCATATTCATAATGAAAAAAAAAACAATAATTTCAATAATTCATTAATTGTTCAAACGGATTTTAAAAATATTTTATTTCCTTATCTACATAAACTTAAAGATGATAATAATTGTGATAATATTATCTAATCAAATTTCTCTGCTATCATTGTTTTGTTATAAAAAACAATATGTACACAATTGTTTGATATTATAATATATATTATATATATGTTGTGATATATACTATGTTATATTTATTTTTGTTTTAAAGTTTATATTGTTCTTTTTTTTTAATTGTTTTATGTAAACCATCGTATAACATTGTTCATCAGCAACCTGATGATGGCGTAAACCGAAACTAAGTAGTTGCTTAAATAAAACTTATTAACACTTTATGTCAGCATATTTTTTAAACAAAATTTCAGATAACCGCTTACACAAAAATTGTGTCTTAGTTTTTCGATATTTTTATAGTATCTATTATAAAAAATAACTTATGATGAATTATGTATTCAATTTTCAAATATGCTTAAGTTGCCAAAATAATTTGGTTACATAAAACCAAATAAAGTCTAAAGTATAAAAAAAAAAAATATAAAATTTAATTTAAATTTAAATTTAAATTGTTATGTATAACTTAAAAATCATACTATTTATTTATTACTATTATTTATAACTGAATTACAACAAAAAATAAATTCGGAAATAATGGAAACCAATATTGCGTAAATATTTCAGTTTTTCCAAAAATTAACCCCAATTTTTCTCAATTATTACAAAAAATACCAAGAAAATAAAAAAATACAATTTCCAACGAACCAACAAGATAACATTTTTACTAGAAACCATCTCTTAGTTGATTATTGAAGCAATATTTTTGAAAAAGTTGTTTATACAGTCCGAAAAAAGTACACATGTTAGTAAAATCAACGCTCAGAATCTAAAACGAAGTACAACTTTTGAAATATAAAAATTGTGTGTTAACCAAACTTATAATTTCTGATGCACACTTAATACCTTTATTTACACAAGTACCTACACAACTTGAAATATATTCCTGGTCCTCTATATGGTATATGGTGTTTGGTCCTCCATTCACAAACAAGACATAGTTATATCTTCGGGTTTCCGTTGACGTTATAATTTTACCTATCACCTAATTTAGTTATAATACAAATCGTTAAAAATCATTTTTATTAAAAATTATTAAAGAAATCATTACAAAGTACAAATTATTATTTTTTCAAATGTCCACACATACTTCTACAAACTTATACCTAGTTATTTTACTAGGTCTATATAAAACTATATATTTTCATTATATTCTGTCTTTACTTCTTTTTTACCTTTTATTTTTATTATTATTTTTGAAACATTACACATTTTAATAATAATTTGTGGCACCTATACATTTTTAAATAATTTTCGATGTGTATCAACTATCATTTAAATATCATTGTCAATTCAATTATTAAGTTTATTAAAATGTGTTTGGGTGAAATGGAAAAGGTTACATTTGACGATGACAATACTACGTGTACACCATTGATTGATTAACTATATTGTTTAATATAGGTTTTCAATAAGAAATATCATATTATCATGGTGGAAAAATTGCATGAATATCAAGGTCCAATCGGTATTCTACACACGTGGAGAGACGCGTTACGGGACAAATGGACCAGTTGGAATGATAATCGTCCCCGGACACTTTTGGAACTCTTACAACTATCGGGTTTAGCCGAACGCCCGGGTAACCGGAAAGACGACGAATGTCCGCTCGAAGTGGACATGGAACAGTATTCGCACATATTCAGGTAATGTCTATAATAATTATTGTTGTGATAAATTTAAAAAAAATACCGGGACTATAATAACATGATTATTACAATTGTATTTTGAATAATATTGCGTATGTGGTAAGAGCTTAGATCATATACAATAGATAGAGTTACGGCTAAGGTATAGGCTAACCTTATGTGAAACGAATATGTCGCCAACATATCAAGAGGGCGTGTAACTACTGCGTATGCGTCGTCCTCTTCATAATGCCCTCTTGATATGTTAGAGACACGTTTTATTGCTTATAGCTCTAACCATTGTGCATGATTTAAGGATAAGAGTGTATCGTATACAGAGTGATCAACATAATATTAAGACACTATCATTATCTCGAAAAATATTAACTTGTTTGGAATTTGTTTTTCTGAACAATTAAGAAATAAGTAGCTTTAAGATATTACATTATTCCTTTTGTGTCACTTTTATTTTTTAAGTTAACGACTACCTACTTTTTAATGCCAAAAAATTCCATAAACAGGTGAAGTAGGTATTAGTTTAAATCGATTTTGGTGTCAACATTTTAAATTTCCGTGAATCCGTTGCCGAGATATTCCACTTTTAAGGTTCTGTGGGAGGAAGTATAGTGGTACATAATTTGTTTAACAACACAATGAACAGCTTTAATAATGTTCACCCCTGAAAATAAGGGCCAAATAAATTAACTATAATGTAAAATTGTATAGCTGCTTGTTTCTTAAATAAACTAAAAATCAAATTCTGAAAAAAATGTAATACTTTCGAAATAATAAGTTTCCTACGTTATTTTGATCACTCTGTATATTATATTATATGCTGAGTTTTAGGAAGAAAACGAGAGGCGAACTCGTACGCATATCTGCCGCAGTGATGGGAATAGAATTTTCGTACGCAGCCGAGACAGCGTTCGTATCACCGACATTATTAAACATCGGAGTTGACCATCAACACATGACTCTTGTATGGGCTGTATCTCCTTGCATTGGGTTTTTCGTCACGCCCATCTTGGGGTCGTTGAGCGACAGGTGTACCCTTCCGTTAGGCCGACGCAGGCCTTTCCTTATAGTTCTGGCATGTGGAGTTTTTTTAGGTAAACCAATAAAAATCCAACACAAGAGCACCAGGTCGGATCGGAAAAAAAAACTAAAAATAAGCCTAGATTAAATATATTTTATTACTTGAACTCTGAATTTTTTTTGAAAAATATCCGTTCGTCTTTTTACAGATCATAAAAATCTACCGAATTCTCTACTCCTCAGATCATATTATAAACCAAAAATCAGGTGAATTTTCAATTATAAGTTTTTATAAAAAGTGATGTAAAAGCAAGTATATAATATAATTGTCCCGATCCGATCGCACGTCTTCCTAACTAAAAGTCCCTCGCATGTAAACGTTCAGATATTGTACAGGTTTGATATTGGTGCCGAACGGAAAACTATTGGGTAGTTGGATGGAAGGTGATCTATCACCGGGAAATAATTTTTGGGCAGTATTTTTCACGGTGCTCGGTACTGTACTATTGGATTTTGATGCGGACGCCTGCCAAAGCCCTGCTCGAGCTTATCTATTAGATATTTGTGTGCCAGGTAATATCGGATAAAATTAATGTCCATATCAACATAAAATATTTCGTGATTATAAAGTAACGAATATGCATTAGAGGACCACGCCAAAGGTTTAAGCACGTTCACGATAATGGCTGGTTTGGGAGGATGTATTGGTTATCTGTTGGGCGGAATCGACTGGGACTCGTTGAAATTTGGTAAAACGACTGTAAATACGTGTTATTTTTTACGCCAAATTCTTAATTGATTTTCTTTTTTTCAGGGGAATTAATGGGTGGTCACGTGAGAGCGGTATTCACTCTAGTCACTTTTCTGTTTATCGGTTGTATCACGTATACCGTGAGTAGTTTCAAAGAGATGCCGTTAAAATTATTACAGACGAACCAAACGAGAATATTGGTCTCAGGAGCCGACGAGGTTAGTCCATCGACATTGTCCACGTAGTTATACATATATATATATATATTTATTTATATATACATATGTATAAAAACTTAAGCTCAGGGCTTGATTAAGTGCGGGGCCTGTATCCCGAGCTCCAGCCCCTATGTTGAAGGCCCGAAAAGAGCCTTTTTTGTCAGAACAAATTCATAATATTTTAAGTATAATGTTTAATGAAAATGTATAAATCCAAATTTTATTTGTACAGTATACATTTTCCTTTATTTTTATTTGGATTGAAATCGATAATATTTTTATACTATTTTCATCTTGAACTTTGTATCTAATCATATTAATTTTGAAAAAAAAAAAAGTATCTCAGTTATAAAATATTGTATTTTTATTTTTTTATTTTTACACTAAAATAATAATGTTGTATAATAATGCAAATTAAAGAGATTATTCTGTTCAATAATTTAATTTGTATCGTGTTTTAAAAAGTTAAAATTAAATTATTGGTAATAAATAATGTAAGGGCCCTTTAGAATACCAAACTCCAGATCCGATACATTTTTAATTCAGTCCTATACCTATATTATATCTAAATAATACATACAAATTATATAGGATTGCGATTCAGATGAAAAACTCGTCGGATATACGTCAAAATCATATGGCACTTTAAAAGAGGTCAGTAATGGAATGGAAATCGAAAACAACGAACCGGCTCTAATAACCGTGAGTTTTCAATCATGTAAAATATTATGTTAAGTTAGGTTGTTAAGTAGGTAGGTTAAGTTGTTGAAATTCGATAACTATGAATTCATTTTTCATGAATAATACATAGGAACACGCCACGTTTTCTCACTATTTGAAGACTATAATCATAATGCCAAAGTCAATCAAGTTATTGTGTCTGACAAATTTGTTCTGTTGGATGGCGCACGTCTGCTATTCGTTATACTTTACGGACTACGTGGGAGAAGCCGTATTCGGAGGCGATCCCACGGTAGGGATACAATATATTAATTCATAATATTGTTTCACCCTATGCCAATTTCGTGCACCAATATTATTATTAAACGATTAATTAAAATGTGCACATAGGCAATGGCGGGATCCAAAAAGAAAATACTCTACGAACAAGGCGTTCGATTCGGATCGGTCGGCATGGCGATGTACTCGCTGTCGTGTGCCTGTTATTCGAGCGTAATTGAAAAACTCATCAAGCGTTTTGGGTAAGTATATCCATCAGGGTTGGACCACAGACCGTGTCTTCCTAAATCAATCTGTTAATCCAGCGGATTGCTCAGCAGATTTATATAATTTAGGAACGCTGCTTTGTTATTTAGTTGGGTCATGTTGGTTAATATCATAGTTTAAGGTTACCCATAGATAATAGGTACCTACCTAGAACAGTGGCCACACCCGTACTCAATCTTTTTTAGATTCTGAGTATAGCTAAGAATGTATTGGTTTTACAAAGTTGTTTATTTTTTTAGTTCTTTAATTTTTAATTTTGTACAATTTTTCTACCAGAAAGCTTATTCCAATTTAAAATGATAGCACTTTTTTTGAAATTAAATCTGACTGAAGAGGTACTTTAGAGAGGTCATTTTCGATTTTCCCAAGAGTTTTCCCAGTAAATGTGAAAAACCAGAAAAAAAACCATGGAAAAATCGGGAAAAACATGGAAAAACGGGAAAATTTGTACAATATTAAATAAATATTATTAAAGAAAATAAATAAAGCCTATTTAATTATTTTACTATAATATGGCATATATATTGTTGACAAAGCATCACTATCAACTGAACTCTGCTCAGAATAGTTTTTCCGTTAGCAATTATTTATCATTGCTTACAGATATACATTAAATTCTCTTTTGTATCCTACCTTCTAATTTCTTACTTAACAGTGGCTGCACTCACATGCGAAGTATGTCATTTTTTTTATTTTTGTAATACAAATAATTTAAATAAACAAAATAAAATTAAATTAAATTAAAAGTATATTAAGAGTATATTTTTTTTAAATTGTCAACTAAATTTTGAATTTTAAATTTTTGTTAACAAGATTTGTAGTTATAATTTATCACTAATTATTTATTGATTGTTATCCAACCATATACACAATTTAAAAACTATTACAATAATTACGTCAATTTTTATATTCTGAGCAAACGAAGAATGTATTAATTTTACAATGATGTTTATTTTTAATTTTAATTTTTTTTTTGTATATACTGTGTACAAAATTTCTACTAGAAATCTTGTTCTGATTTTTTAGTATAGCACCTTTTCTGAAAGGAAATTTTATCTCGTTGGAACTTTAAACAGGTAATTTTTTAATTTTCCAAGAATATAATTTTTCATAATAATTCGGAAAACCGGAAAAAACAAAAAAAATAAATAATGCTTTTATTGTTTTAGATTTTTAGTGGAGCGAGGAATTTATTGGTTTTACAATGATGTTTATTTTTTTTTCAGTGGACAACTTTTCTACCAACAATTTTACTCTGATTTACAATGATAGCACTTTTTCTGAAAGAAAATCAAACTGGGAAGATACTTACTTTAGGGAGATCATTTTTTTTTTCCAGGAATTTTCCCAATAAATGGGAAAAACCGTGAAAAAAACGGAAAAAGAAGTATAATATTAAACAAACATCATTAAAGAAAATATATAATGCATAATTATTTTACGATAATGTGACATATATATTGTTGATAAAGTAACACTATTAACCAAACTCCGCTCAAAATCGATTTTCGTTAGCAATAGTTAATCGTTGCGTAGATAGATATACAATAGATATACATTATATTTGCCCTCTTTTTTCCTAAATTTGGTGGAAAGTTGTTGATGAAAATTTAAAAAATAATAAAATAATAAAGTAAAAACAAAATTATTTATATTTGAAAAAAATAGTTATGGAATTACAACAATCAAACAATATATGCAAGTGGAATATCTTACTACAAGTATGCATTCATTTTTGTATTTTTAATATAGCGTAATTCATGGATGAACAAATTTTATTTTGCACGATGTTATTTATAAATTTAAATATTATATAATGCAATTTGTAGCTTATAATAAATAGGTACTATAAATAGGTTTCGTGCCTCAGCAATAGGTTTTCACCGCAGTCTCACTAAGTGTAGAGTGAGCCATGCATTAATTGAAAATTAAAGACGATGCCGTTAAATGTAAATAGAATATCCGTGGAATCCAAATAACTGCAGCCAGTGACGTCATTTCAATTTTTGAGAGGAGGTGGGAAGCAAAAGTTTTGACCAGCTCATAATAAAACTGAAAAACATCGCATTCTTCACTCGCTAACTTAATTGTTACAGTTACATATTTATCTCAATTCAAATACCCTTCTTTTATACTTACTATTATACGAATAAATAACCCGTTTTTTTTTTTGAGGGACAACAATGACTATTGACTAAATTGTTATTTAGTCAACATATAATATCTATATACAGAGGGACACCTAAATATATTATCTATAGGCTATAAGTTACTAATATGCTTATTAGCCACTGTATGAATTATAAAAACTTAGTTTAAGACGAATTTTACCCCAATTTATGTTCTAATATGTATGGAGTATAAATGTAGTATTAAATCATAAAACATGACATGAATCATGTTTGTGGTCTTGTGGCTCAAAACTAGCCCGATACCAGCCTATACCCGGCCCTATAGCGGCCTGCTGATGATAAGAGGAGAAGAAAATTCCTCCCTGCCCCAAAATTATGTAGGTGTTTATTACTTTCACAATTGCTTCGTTAAGTAGCTAGGGCTTCAGCCCCCCTCCAAACTCAAACCTAATTTGAGCCTATAAGAACTACTAAATCATATAATATTATTTTTATATATTTTGTAAATCAATAAGTACGACTTATAATAAACCTCCTGTTAAATTTTCAAACATTCCTATTAAATTTAACAATTTCATCTACTGCAGAGTAGGCACCTTCCAAATAAAAATTATATAAAAAAAACTCGGAAAATTAAAATGTCTATAAATAGCTCAAAAATGACTCAAATAATTTGAAAACTGCATGACGTTTACAAAAGACAAATATATAGGTTTTTTTACCAAATTTCGAGTCTCTTAAATGTTAAATAATAAAATAATTCTTTTCATTAGTAAATTTGTCAGTATTTAAAAAACTACAAATCAAAAACAACTTTCTTCAAAATTCTATTGGAGCAATATTTATGATAGAAAAACAAAGCTGTAACTCCACTCAGAATCGGTTTTCATAAGCAATGGTTTATCGTTGCTTACAGGTGTACATTAAATTACGTACAATAGTGGCTGCACCCGTCCCTATTATCCTAAGACGTCTTTTATCTACGTTCTTCTCAGTTTTCTTGGTTTTTCCCAGTTATTAGTAAAACTCTTAAGAAAATTAAAAAATTACCATCTTAAAGTACCTTCCTAGTCAAATTTCTTTTTAGAAAAAGTGATATTGTTGAAAATTGAAGCAAAATTGCTGGTAGAAAAGTTGTCCACAGAAAAAAATATAATAAACATTGAATAACCGTAAGCTTCTTCGCTCCATTCAGAATCTAAAAGGTGCTACATTATACATTGGAGCAACATTTCTTTTCGAAAAATTGTTTACAGATAGATACACTCCGAACTAAAATAAGATTGTAAAAACAAATTTTGTTATTGGGATTTGTGATGTTAATTTTTCAATATTAAATTGTTTTTGCGTTGATAAAATTAAAATGTATGTCGGGCAGAGGAAAACGAGTGTATGTCGGTGGTTTGCTTTTCTATTCCACCGGAATGTTTTTAATGGCCATCACGCGACATAAGTTTAGTGTGATATTCTTCTCATGGGCAGCCGGTGTAATGTATTCAACCATGTTCACGATGCCGTATTTGTTGATCGCCCATTACCATTCGACTAACACGGTATTATTATACGAATTTTTTTTTCTTTACGTAATTGTATGTTTTGCCATTTTTTCCTGTTTTTAGTTTGCTGAAAATATCATTGGCCAAGAACCTGATGACCAGATACGAGGCTTAGGCACAGACGTCGCCGTGGTTAGTTCCATGGTTTTCGTGGCTCAGTTCATTTTGTCTATGTGTATGGGAACGATTGTCAGCCTGTCGGGAACTACTTCGGCCGTGGTCTACACCGCTTCGTTTTTGGCTTTTTGCGCTTCGATTGTTGCCACGCAAATCGTGTACTTAGATCTATGATAACTGAATTTTTGAAATTTATAGAAAACTTACTACTGCGCTATGTATCAACTCGTTTAATTTAAACGCCGTGTGTTTTTCACACTTTTTACATTTATTTCACTAAAATACAACAATATCATACAAATATTATTTATTAATAATAATATATAGGTATATTATACAATAGTTCTGTAATCTGTTACTTACATATTATTAAAGACCCTATAAGTATTTATAGTAAGAGAATGGCATACTCAGTTTATCACTATTTAATAAACTCCGTATTAAAGTTTAAAGATCAATGAATAAGCTATCAGACGGCATCAGTAGTATTTTTGCGGACCAGTAAATTGGTATACTGTAATAAAACCAATTTTAAAAAGACTTACATTACCTCCCTTATCCTATATGATACCAGTGTTCCTAATGCCCACCCCTCTTAGACTATGGAATACAATGTTTAAAATATAGGTGTAGCCTAGCTGGAACTTTAATATTTACAATGTCGCCTAAAAGTTTTCTAATAAGTAACAATAAACAAAAACAAAATTGATAATAAAGTAAGTATAAGTATATACGTTGGTAGTTCATAGATATAAATAATAACTAACAGGTAAACCAATCAAAATGCATTATATATTTATATGATTGGTTATTCTTACTATTTATTTTATTATCTCTATTCCCTACAAAATATATACGTTTAAATAATTATTATATTACAATAATGAAAATTCATCAATGTAACGTTCGTGAGTAAAATATATCGTAATAATCGTCTTATTTTATTAATATGTCCCGTATAGCATTTATCAATTATATTCATATAATATTTAAAAAATAAATGACACCTGGTAGGTATTAAGTAATTGTAAAAATTATTTCATGATTATTATTATTAAAAATAAAGTAATTTCCATAATTTTGTAATATTTGAACATATCAAAATATACTTATTACTAGTATATTTACCATATACAAAAGTCGATCATAATTTAAAAAATTGAAATATTAATCGTTAAGAGTTTTCACCAATACTTAAGATAAAATTTCAAAAATATAAATTTTTTCGTAGAAGTTTTGAAATATTAATAAATATTAAAAACTATAATAATATTTTAAACATTTGCTTAATAGAAATCAATAATATTAGTCTTGCTTTTACCGTTGTGCGCAGCGGCGGATCCATAATTGTTTTAATTGGGAGCACATTATTTATATTTTCAGTAAATTAATTATAAATTATATATTAAATTAATATAAAAAATATAAATAAAAACTGTAGTCCATAGATAGTGAAGCAAGTGCCCCTTGTTTTCTCGCCCTGGATCCGCCACTGGTTGTGCAATGTGTGTCCGTGCCGCGTCGTTCCCTTATTTATGACCTTATTCTGACGTCGCTATTACCTATTTTCTCTACTGGGGCTTCACGTGCGACTGATATTTATTTTTATCTGCTTACTGCTCGTCGTGGTTTTTTCCTAGGTCATAATAATTACATTTTAAATCATTAAATACATAAATATATTTTAATTGAAATTACTCATAATTAAGTATCAGGTAATTCATTTAAGGGGGTACAATCATTATCTTGGATAACTTTAACTTTTTCCGGAATTTTTTTTCCAGAACATTTAAGAAACAAGCTACTCCACAATTTTATGTTTGTGATATTTTTTGTCACCCTTATTTTTGGGGGTAAAACCACTACCTACTTTTGATTTTCAAATGGTACCCTATATAAAATTGTTTGTAAATAGATGGAGTATTAGTTAAAATCAATTTGAATGTTAACATTTTTGATTTCCGTCAATCCGTTAACGAGATAATCCATTTTTAAGTTTGGGTTGAAGAAGAGTAGTGGAATACCATTAGTGTGGCGGTACGGTAATATATAATTTTTAATTTTAGGGTGGAGGAGAGTAGTGGTGCATTATTAACACGCCGAGCGCCGTACCGCCACACTAATGATACTCAACTACTCTCCTCTAAGAGATCCAAGATCCCACATTAATGAATTGTAAATAAAAATTTTTTTCAAAAATTATTAATTTTTAAATGATTTTAAAATTACATTCCAAAAATGTAATATTATCATATTTTTGCATATCAATATGTTCTTATTTATATTATTTGTTTTTTTAAAACTATAAGCAGAACAATAAATTTTATTAGTTAATATACTCACCGCCCCGACTGTATTTTTAAACTGGGCATTTTCAAAATATCCTGTTGCTATATCCAACCAATTATTAGTTGTGGGCTCTGACATCTCAATTGGCTGTAATATATGTCATATAACCTCGCATGTTTCCTTTAGTATATTCGATATGGTTGACACTCCCATCAGAAACTTAAAATGTAATCATGAGAAATGTGTTCCACAAACCAAATATCTGAATATTATGATATCTTATAAAAATTATTGAAACAAAAAATTTATATAATTTTAGATTCTGAGTGGAGTGAAAAAATATTTACCGAAAAAACATTGACATTTTTAATGAGAGTTTGAAATTAAAAGTGTTACAATATTCATTATTATCCCGTAAACAACTATTTCTCTTCAAACGATTTTAAGTATTTTGTTGTAAATTAAAAACGTATTGCCCTAGTATTATTTAGTGTACATGAACAAATTTTCAATTTTTTTTTTTTTACTTTTTTTGAGCTATTTATAGGCCTGAGAGATTTTTGATTTTCTTTAGCGGAACGATGAATGTATTAATTTTACAATAATGTGTGTTTTTTTTTTTTATTTTTTTTTTGTCTATATACACAGTAAGTTGTCGAAATAATACTTCGATCTTCAACTTCAGTAGCTTTTGCAGTGGGAAAGTGAATTTAATTGGTGCATTGAAGAGGTCAAAATTTAAAATTCCAATTAGTTAACAAAAGTGCCGGGAAAAACAAAAAAAAATTAAAGAAAAATAAGAAATTTCACACAAAATCAGTTTTCGACAAAATCGATTTTGGTTTTTGGTATAACTCTAAAACAAATTACAGTACATATGTAATTTTCACTGAATGTTTATATTAGGATTTGCTTTAAATCTTACCAATTTTCAAAATATTGACTCGTTTTGAACTATTAACGAACATTTTTCAGTTTCCAATTTTTTTATTTTTTTTTTTTCTATAAATGTAAATAAAATGTCTACCAGAATCCAAATTAAATATTTATGAGCGTTTAAAATTCAAATTTTAACTAGATTTATTAAATTTAAAACTATTATAAAATGTTTATCTTTTATGGCTAAATATTGAAAATTTAAGACAAAATTCCAAGTAAATAGATTATTCTATAACAAAAAAATCTAAAAAATATGTTAACAGTTAATTTAAGTTCGGACGAAATTACATTTTAAATTATCAATAATAACGATTTTAGTTATTTTTTTGTAATTTAAAAATATTATTCATGGGTACTTATAACTTCTAAAGTTATAATAATAATATTAATTCAACTTACCAGCTACCGTATTAATAATAACCATAATATCTTTTGAATCAAAAACTTACAAAAAAACACACATTATTATTGATCAGAATATAAAATGTTTTAATTTTTCAATCGATCTAAAAACTTGAAAATGTAATACATCGTTTCTTATTATTTGTATATTGTTGTAATATTATTATAGTTGTGAACTGTCACTATTAAATATTTTATATTTTGGTTTTTTAATTAGTAAAAGAATTTTAAGTCAAATAGAAAAATATTCGAGATGCTTGTAGAAAAAATATGTAATCTGTGTACAAAAATTAAAAAAGGAGGAGTGTCGCATAGTTTTATATTCACCATATTTGCTGCCTCGCTTCTATGATGCATGTTTTAACCCAATTTGCATAACGAAAATAATTATTAAATAAAATATATAAATCAAATTATTTTGATATTATATAGATCTATTAATATTTTTTTAAAGTAAAATAGCTATAAATAGATACATTTTTTATTAATCAATACATATATCGTTGTAGTGTAATCGTTGTTAGTCGTTAGTCCAAAAAATGTTTAAATGCTACTCAATATGTTAAGAATTTATCATCACGCATACATAAGTTAGACATAGGAAAATTTTCATTAAAACATGACTTTTGTTCTTTTGGACAGTCATTAATCATTTATGATTATTTCCGTAGCATGTAAAATGTTATTTTATACTATTTAACATGTATATTTGTATGATACATATAATGTGCTTAATTTTTAAAATGGTTTTTACATTAAAATGTTGATCTTAAATTTCATTAAATATTGATTTATCTAACTATAAACATTTAAGTCCTAATGTTAAACATACAATATTAAATTTAAAAAAAAGTTAATACAATTGATGGGCCACTGTTTTAGGTGAAACATTGAGAAGGTTCAATACAAGTTTATTTAATTTATATTTTTGTATAATAAAATAAACCATTGCTAACAAAATACTATTCTGAGAGAAGTGTGATTATACATGTTTTAAAATGACATAATTTGTACAATTTTTGTTAAAATTTGAACTTAAAACATTACAAGGTGATCAACATACTAATTATCTTGGACTATCCCTACTTTTTTTGAAATTTGTTTTACTAACTATTTAAGAAATTATTAGCTCTGAAATGTAACATTACGGTTATTTTATGTTTCTCTCATTTTAAGAAGTGAAATCATCATTATCTACTTTTAATTTTCAAATGGCAACTTATACTAAAAATTCCATTAATAGATGGAGTATTAGTTTAAATAAATTTTGGTGTTAAAATATCTATGATAATAATAATAATAAATTTATTTAGCAAATATATATACAATTTTACAATAATATACAGAAAAAAATACAAATTATGTGTTTGCAACTCCCTTTTAAGCATAACGCTTGTGTTGGGGGTATATAAGTGATCTGATTTTCATTAATCCATTGACGAGATATTCCACTATTAAGTTTAGATAAGGGGAGAGTGCTGGAACACTATTGCAATTTCGTGTACCGTGCCACCACACAAATGTTGCACCACTACTCCCCCTCTTTGAAACTTAAAAGTTTAAAATCTCACAAACAGGTTGACAGAGACTCCATCTATTTGTAGTCTTTTTAATAAAGACTTTCATTTGAAAATCAAAAGTAAGGAGTGGTTTCACTCCCTAAAATAAGAATGACAAAATTAAGATTAATATAACATTTTACAGCTATTCATTTCTTAAATATTCTAAATAACAAATATATTCCGAGACAGTGAATGTCTTACGTTATATTGATCACCTTATTGTATTATCATCATATGGTTTCATGACTTTGTAAGAGTTGTTACCGCCTCTGTCAATGCTCTCCAGCTTCAACGATCCTGGACCAACACTTCTCAGTTTGTAATTTTCAGTCTCCCTAGGTCTTGTTTTACCCCATCTATGCAGCGTTTTTTTGGCCTCCTCCTTGGTCTCTTTCCTTCTGGTTGCCAATCCATGGTTGCTTTGGCTTTGCTTGTTGCTTCTCTCTGTTTAACATACCCAAGCCATTTTAATGTTTGTTCTTTTATATAACTTATTATCACGAGTATTTTTGTCATTTCTCTTATCTCTCTATTTTTTCTTTTTACAGTAGCAATTGGCTACATCATCATATAAGGGTCCACGTATTATTCTTAAAACTTTGTTTACAAAGGTCCTAAGTTTTTGCTTGACTCGTTCTATTGTGAACCATACTTCACATCTGTACGTAATTGTTGGTCTTACTATCGCCGTACAGAGACGTGTTTTTGTGTCTCTAGAAAATATCTTTGATTTAAAGTATTTAATTAGAGCAAAGTACGCACTTTCACCTTTATTGATTTCATTATGAATCTTGCTATTCCAATTATTATTTCCAGTTATTGTTGCACCAAGGTATTTGAAACTTTAGGTTTTTTTAAATACTTAGTCCACTATTGCAAGGTTATCATATTTTCTGTTCATTGTTTTCATAACTACGCTCTTCTCTTCATTTATCGCTAGCCCAATTTTTTTGCTTCTTTTATCAGTGTTGTATTTTGAACAACTGATTCACTTTATCTTCACTTAAAATGTTTAAATTGCCTGCAAATCTTAGGAAGTCAAGTAAAATTGCCTCTATTTTGACTCTACAGCTGTTTTTTTTGTATGCTACGATCACCTTGTACAGAAAAAAAAAATACTAAATTACAATCAACAGAACAAGATTTCTGGTAGAAAACAATAATTAAACAAATTTAAATTAATTAAACCGTTAACACCTTAATTTGTCTGTTTTTCTATCTAATTCTATTCTAGGTTTTCCCAATTATTAAGAAAACTGCTTAGAGAATAATTTAAGAATTAAATATTTTTTTATTAAAAGATTTAATGATATTATTTATTTTAATTTGTTTAAATCCGATTGGCCCTTTTATAAATAAAAGTAATTTTCAGTTTATTTTAATACATTTTATCATAATGCCATAGTCTTGAATATAGCTAAGTGAGTTCAATTTAAATTTGTTTATTTATTCTCTATAATTGTATACAATATAGAATGTATTTTAAAATTATTTTTAGATAGCTATAAAAACTTTATAACACCACAAAAAATATAATAATACCTAAAAATAAAATAAAATTAACAAAATATCATAAGTCACATAAAAATTGAGCATGATGATGAAAATGTTGTTCTATAAAACTTGAAATGAAGTAAAACCCGTGATCATATCTTTCTTCAAAATGTATTGAAGCCAGAATCCCTGCCTTTTCACAAGCTTTTGAAAAGTTTTCCAACATTAATTCATCTTTATACTGATCATCAGTTCCCTGCAAAAAAAAAAAAAAAAACCTTAATACTTCTAAAACTCTATGAAAATTAAGTGTAATTACTTTGTATATAAAATGTGTTCCACAAAGATATATCCATTGCAATATTTCCTGAGATAATCAAATTCAATTTTTTTTATTACTCATAGGGATAAGGACTCCAAACATTTATATTTGAATAAAATTTGTATTTTTTAGTAAAAAACTAAAAAAGTAACTTTAATTTTATTATTTTCGAAGAATTTTAAGATAGCCATTTTATAGTCTATTCTTCTAAAAATGTTGACATTTTTACTTTTAATTTTCATTAAATTCATGATTTTTAATAGTTTTTTAAAGTTTCCAGAAAAAAAGTGTACATTCAATTAAATGTAATAAGTTCAAAGAAAAGTAACTGTAATTCTACAGCAAGCTATATGCGAATTCACAGTAATAATCAGTCATGATTATTACTATTATGGCTAATTGACTGTACAATTTTTTTCTCGGAACTTTAAAAATTATTAAAAATCACGAATTTAATGAAAAGTTCATACATCAAAATTGTCAGAAAAATAAACTCTATAAAATGTCTATCTTCAAATTTTTCAAATATAATAAAATAAAAAGTTATTTTTTTACATTACCAAGATAAAACATTAATTGAAATATAAATATTTAAAATATAATATTTATATTTAAATATCTACTTGGGAATAATATAAAAAAAAAAAATCATAATTTGATTATCTTTATTATCTCTGAAGATATTACAATGAATATATAATTGTGGTATGTCCTGTATTATTTATCTTTACTTGATGTATAAGAATATTTAACTCTGGTCCTTTATATTCAGATATTAAACATGTAGCATCGTATTTCTCCACCATTTTTGTATCATCTCCAAAGTAACACTTAAATACACTTTGCATAGCAATTGATTGAGATGGATTAGAAACTGGAGCTAAAGCTGACACTGAACAAAACTTGCCTGGATTTTTTAGCGCACTTATCAAAGCTCCATGACCTCCCATACTAAACATTTTTTTTTAAATAAATAATTTTATCATAATATATAAGGCAATCATTTTAGTACATAAAAGTAGATAAACCTGGCAAAAAACCACCTACTAAAAATGAAGATCAATTGATGATTGAAGATAATTTAGCAGCCAAAGTAAAAATGTAAATAGTCGTTAAAATGGGGATTCACTTTTCCGCCAACATCGATCTTACCGTTTATCACCAGTATAATAATACATATTTCTGACAAGGATTTTAAGTTGTATTTATAAACGTCAATATGAAGCAAAACTGTGTGCTTGTTTTAAAGCTTTTGTTAAATGTATCAGTCATGTTTGTAATAATAAGTAATAATAAGTATTTACTAGATTATAAATTTAACTTAATTTAAACTGGTCGTATTTTTTCATAACCAATCAGAATTTATTATAAAACACGTTATAATTTAAAAAACATTAGATTCGTATAATTGTGTCAATGTTATTATTTCGATTTTAATCACGAAAAGTTACCTATTGATGTAATAAAATTAAAATATTACACAATGTGTAAAATAAGAGTTTCCACTTCATGAAATGGATAAATATGTGTCTATTTCATGAACTTAAATTTGATTAATACGATATGATCGTAATTCATGAAATGGATATTAATTTTATGAAAAATACGAAAACACTAAGTGGATGCGACATATACATATTATATTTTATACTTAATAAATTATTAGTAATATTATTATTAGGTATATATTTGGACATCGCGACGTAATTTTACCCAGCACTGTAGGGTTGCCAAATCGGGCGGTTTTCAGTCAATTGGGAGTTCTCAGACAGTCAAATGGCTGGAAAATGTTTCTACTTTAGGTATACCACAAATTGAGCAAGTTGTAACCTCTACGGGTTTCACCAGGATAATCCAGTTTTACACATAAAAGTTCAATGAATTATTCTCCTACAGTTTGTCGAATCTTTTTCTGATGCAGGCGCGGATCCACGGGCCACGGATCATCCCCCCATATATTTTTTAAAATAATTACTAACTATTATTATTTTATTACTAACGAAAAATACTTAAATAAAAAGGACGGACCTACTTAACACGAGGGTGCAGCTCCTTTTGTAGATGGGAAGTTGGGAATGTAGGATACAGATGAGATTTTAATATATATCTGTAAGTAACAATAAACCATTGCTAACGAAAAAAACGATTCTAAAATGAGTTCAGTTGATAGTGTTACTTTGTCAACAATATATTAATATATATCATATTATGGTAAATAATTACAACGATGCGCGTTTCCATGACAACACTGACTGTTTAAAAAAAAATTAAAATAATAAAAACTTAATACTAACAAAAAATAAATAAAAACGGTTGCCAATAATAACCTCATTTTTAATCTTTCAATCTTTTTTAACCTAAAGAACCAGGTTTTCTTCATTACCTCGAATGTTAATGATAATTTCAAAAAATAAACTCTTTAAGTACCACCCAGGGAACATTTCCTTTCATAAAAAGTGCTATACTTGATAATTGGAGTATGCTTTCTGGTAGAAAGTAAAATGGAGTAAAATTGACGGTAGAAAAGTTGTTCACATAAAAAAAATTTTTTTAAAAATAATCATAGTAAAACCAATACATTTCTCGCTCTCAGAATCTAAAATATGTTTTACATAAAATAGACAATTTTACTTTGTCTCATAATTTCTAAATAAATAATTAGTCATTTCTAAATTTTAGGCTTGCTTTTAATTTTTATCTGATTCTTATTATTCTAATTATCTAATTGAGTATTGCCAGAAATCGTTCAATTGCTAATAATATCATATTTCAGACCAAAATTCAGCATAACATTTTTTTGTGAAGTGACGGTTTTTGGGCGCTGCGTTTTGGCCGTTATAATAGGCCATCAACTGATCATAGTTTATGGAACATTGAAACATTAAAATAGAAATCCAATGAAAATTTATCTACATATTATATTATTACTATTATTATATTTATATCTATTATCATTGGTTATAATTTATGAGTATTATAAATATTGATTATAAATTATAAAATTTATTACAATAAAGATTACCTATGTATTAAAATATCTTAGAGAGTGCTTAAGATAGCTCAGGGAAGGCTAAGCCCTTTTAAGCCCTCCTCTATATTATAGTACATCATCTTATCTATTACATATTATACATACATATATCTTACATATTATCTATGTTATACTTATTGGGGAAGTGTTAATATATTTATTTTTCTTGTAAAAAAATAATTTATATACTGTTGTTATTGACAAATAAAGATTATTATTATTATTATTTTGACAAAAATCGTTAAAAAAAACGGCTTTCAAAACATGTATAACCGAACTGCACTCCGAATCGTTTTTCGTTATAAATGGTTATACCATTCGATTATAACATTTACTTTATCGAAAACTATTTTAGTTCGTATAGTGCACACCAGCAGCGTAATTACAAGGGGGCGGGGTATTTGGGTGGTGTATCCCCCCAAGACTGTTTTTTTTTAAAAGACTAGTTAATTACATTTATGTACTTATTTAACTATAAATATTATTATGTTATATAGTCTATATTTTATAGAAATAATACAAAAATTTCCGAGTCCCCTTTGCTAGCTGTACATAAATACTTCATAATAAACGCAGATGCATACTGTCCTACCAAAGAGAAACGCACTAACTCACAATTTTTTATAAATGAGATTATTTTAGAATAGGTACCTATTATTTATTAGGCTATTTAAATCGATTTGACTAGGATAAAATGCAGTAAAACATCATTTAGACTCTCTAAATGAGCTTTATATATATAGTATCTACCAAAATATCATTGAACACTAAAAAAATAAGCAGTAAATGATATATTCTAGAAAAAACAATAATATTATGTTGTGTAGTTACTGCTTATAGGTACGTTTAGTAAATTTATTTAGCAGAATACATACTGCGTATGTATCCAGTAATCTTAGATTATCTGACTAACACATTATGATTAGATAATCACATGTGTAGGTACATATTATATTTATTGCACTAAAAGGTGATTATGATAAATACATTTTCTTTTTTTGGTGGGAGTAATAAATAAAACGTAAAAACTGCATTTCATTTTCTTCACAAACATTATCAAATTATACCACTTGTGCACGCGTGTTGAGAACAATTTTACAGTTTGGAAAATATTTACCCCGTGTGATTGAAAATTAATTAGGATAGAAGGAGCCAAAATGAGACACGGGGCACTGTGAGATAATGTTAATAGATAACACAAAAATAAATCTAGCGGTTCATACCGATGTGCAACGATACACAATTTTAAAATGTAAATTAGCGTCTCATTGCAGCTTGGCAAATTGGATACTGCGCGCGCAGCTTTCCTTATCATACCATTATCATTGTTATTTTCAAATTAGATAAACTGATTATGTGCGTACGAATTTGAATTATTGTTATTTGCTGTCACTGTTCTAACTAGAATAATGATGTTTTATGCTTTCAATATTGGATAGTAGTAAAGAAAGTATTATTACTTTTTCGATTAATTAATTGATAAATTAATTTATAACATACTATTTACACTTATATACATACAATATTTACATTAAATTTTCAATTTCACATTGATATCAACTCCCTATAAGCAAAGCTTGTGGTTAGAATAGTGAGTCTATGAAAATATTTAATTATTATACTTTAAAAGTGATGATAATGAAGATAATACTCAAACATATGAACCAGATAACGGAAATATGGATACATAACAGTAAATGTCAAGAAGAAGTTCTAATGGTAATATTTTCAATGAGTCAGATTCTGAATATTTTTTTTCTACCAAACGTCCCATGGGCATAGAGTAGGTACAGAATTAATACATATATATATATAGAGGGTAATATTTTTATTATGAACCAGTAATTATCTCAGGATTTCAAGTGAATTTGATTTTTGTTTTTTCTAATCATTATGGAATCGTTTAAGTTTTATTTTAAAACTATTTTTAATTTTTTTCTTCTACTCCCTATACTTTAAATAAGTGCATACTTTTGATTTTGCAACAGAAACCCCTCTTTTTGAATATTGATTGAGATAGAAAAAATTGTTCTATATATAATGGTTAAAATTATTTTAGTAAATACTGTAAAGATATATAACAAGGAACAACAAAAATAAGTCAAGTAAGACAATATTAGCACTATGAACTATAAAGTAAACATTCAAGACAATAATAGAACTTAGAACTATAGAATACAGCTATTTTTTAAACCATGTTTCATCTCCAATAGAAAATTAAAAAAAAAAAAAAATCAAAATTATTAAGTTTATTATCTAGAGTTAACATTCAATTAACCAGTGCAAATAGGCAATAATTACGTTTTCAAGTAGATACATAGAATGGATTTGTGGATCTTAAAGTTATGTTTGGAATATTTATATTAATTAATGCTAGTATTTCAGAACAATCAATTTTGGAATTGAATAACTTATAAAGTCAGCGTAATTCGTTAAATCACCTTCTAAATTCTAGATTTTCTATATTAAATTTTAAAGCAATAGATTGCAAAGTTAACTCAACATTATTTGTTTTATAAGCTAGCATATTTAAAATTCGATTTTGGATTCATTCTATTTTTTTATAAGAAATATTCAAATCATGAATCCAATTTTCATGTTTAATAAAAGCCCAATTGTCTGTGGTGTAAGAATTGTGAGTTAATATAAAGTTACAGAAAAATCAGTTGTTAAGCTTATAGGTAAAAGTGCAAAAACAATTTTGGAGTCTTAGATATTATTTTTTTCAAACAAAAAGCCTATATGCAGGGATCATTTGATAGAAATTTTTAAAATTGTTTCACATTAATGTTACAATGTGACACTGTTATATTGTATTACTTTAGAGTTTTTATTATTATTTTAATAAAGTAGTAATAGGTAAGTTTTTTTTAATTTAGTTAAAATGAAATATAATAGTTTATACAAGGTAAATAATATAATACCTAATATATATACAGTGTATCCCACTGTGTTTTTCACATTTTTCTAGTGCTGTTAATAATACATTTTTGATACTTTTAAATATTATACACTTGATTTATTTTTTTTTTACGTTAGAAATAAAATAACGACAGAAGCCTTGTCAGAATTAATATAATAATTGATAGTTATTTCTGGCTTTGTCGGTTGTGATGGCAGTGGTAAAAATATTATTTGATAAGACAGTGCACGAGTTATTATTTCTCCAAAATGTGGAGTATTTTTACATTCGTTTGGTAAATAAAATAATTTATTGCAATTTTAAGTCCAATTTTGGATATGTTTTACTACAATAATGCAATCAATTTGAATGCTCTTTTAGTGCAATAACTTAATTATGACATACAAATAAATAAATAAATGGATTTGAATCCTCATTTAACTGCCTTATTTTAGGAATGGTTGTATCAAATTCTTCTCAACAGATTGCTTTACCTACTCAGGACCCGATTTTTAACAGTATTTCTGCTATACTTGAACAATCTAACACCATAGGTTAAGGAGGTTTGTGAAGTAACTATTTGTATGGACAATGTAGCGCTCTCAGGGGCCATACCAAAGTTTTCTTGGTTAAATTATAATTAAAAAATAATTTAAATTAACAAAATTATGTATATTTCATTCAAAACTATAATATATATTTATATTATAAATACTAGATATCCTGCCCAGCGTTATCCAGCGCCATTTTTTACCCATATTTGTTTTTGGTTTTGACCGTGTCAGTAATAAATAATAACAAATAAAAACAAATAGGTAAAAAGTGGGGTAGTCTAATAGTTTTCTGTTATAACATTTCTTCATGAAAAGCAGAAGTGTATTTCCATACATTATCAATAAAAACTTTAGAATGATTGTGAAGCTGTCCACCTCAGTGTTGCCCTTGTCATTTTTTATTATTTTTTTTTTTTAGCTAAATTATTTGGTGTATATATCTTACATATATAATTCTTGTGTCACGATTTTGTGAATTATTTTTATTTATATTTATTACTATAGATACGTTTTGACCAAACTTTTACATTTTTTTTTTCAATTCATCCATGTAACTAAGGTAATCCATAAAAATAAATTATTTAATATTACCTAAAAATCTTATTAAAATACTAAAATCACAATTAAAAAATGATGGGTTCGGAAGGTGAAAAATAATTTACGACCTATTCTCATACCTGCCAAATATACAAAAAAAATGTCATTAAAATCGGTCATACTGTTTCAGAGGAGTGCAACCACAAACACATGACACGAGAATTTTATATATAAGATATTACTGTTACTATACCTGTGACCCATAATAGACTGTCTATCCTTTTTAATATTAAAATTTTCTTGAATAATACCCGGTAACTCCTCGTTCACATATGAATACATTTGGTAATTCTTGTTCCATGGTTTTTTTATCGCATTTACATAAAATGACAAACCTTTAGCTTCAATTTCATTCTTTTCAACACCAAAAGTGACCCCTGAAAATGTGTTAGTAAAAAATAATAATTATTATGTATTAAAAAAATATATATATTTATATCCTCACTAGGACAAACATCAGGTGAGACTACGATTATTCCATAATGTACTGCCCAACGTTGAAACCCTGATTTTTGTATGAAAGTTTGTTCAGAACATGACATACCACTCAAAAAGTATAGAACTGGAGCAGGCCCTTCTAAATTGTCCGGTACATATACACAAAATCGCATACGAAAATTCAATACAGTACTGAAAAATAAGGTAAAATTAAAAATGAATATGTTTATATATTAACTTAATTTAATTTGATAATTATATAAATTCAAATTAGAAAATACATCAGTATTAAGAACATTTTTTGAAAGTAATATACTATATGTACTAATAATTTAAAATTTAAATGGAATTTAAACTCCCTTAATTTTTTTTAACATACATGCATAAATATATTTTACATAATATACATTCAATAAACTAATAAATAATGAATAATTGAAAAATTAAATAATAATAATAATAGTATTAATGGTACAATTTAGTTATTTTTAACTAGATTCAGTAGGTACATTGGGTATACCTCCATTAGGTTCTATCTTTTTAATGTCTTTCTTTACACAATCTTCCTATCTTAATTTAGGTCTACCTAGCTGTCTTTTTCTCATAGGGTCTTCTTCAATGATCCGCTTAACTAACGCTCCCTATTTGCACCATGCATGCCTACCTTAGTCTTCGTTTAGCCATTTTTCTAACTATATTCGGCTTCTAAAAGAGTTTTTGGGGTTTATTATGTAGTTTTCTCCGTTTAAATTTTTAATTTTGGAATTTGTTTATTCTTGCAAAAAATAATTATTATTTTGTTACTATGTATAAGTATTCAAAACTAGATTAAAAAACTAAAAAATATGTTCTTAGGAATTTATCGTATTAGACATTAACATTTACAACCACAGGCATTAACCATACATAATTATTTAATTTTAAAATGTTTAACTAATTTATTTATTATTTATCCATAAGTTAGTGTTTAAAAAATAATTTATTCATTAATTTCAATCTCAGATGGTCAATTAAACATTACATACATATAGATATAGACTATAATTTATTATAATACTAGGTACATACAGTACAAGGTATCATTAAAACATCACAGATATTAATTAATTATGCAATAATTCAATATAATGTATTAGATAACTATCTATAAAACCAGAATTTAATTATTTAGAAGCAAAAACAATTATTGAATTTAAAAATCAAGTTTTATATTACTCATAAATTATTCAACCTAACCTACCGTTTATTTTCTATGCAATTTTAATTACTACCAAAACATGATAACTTTATATTATTATTACATTGATATCCAAAAAAATTAATTAAATTTGCACACAATGTTAAAATGTTAAATTACTGGGCAGTATTAAACTATTATTACACACTACACACAGTGGTGGATTTAGTGTCAAGCAAAGTAGGCAGTCGCCCTGGGCAGCAAATTTTTAGGGGAGGAAATTTTGCACCAATATTTTATTGATAATACTAGTTTTTTTTTTAGATTTTATAAGGTAATTTTTAATCTTTACAATTGAAGAAAACTACTTACCTTTAATTTATAGTAATATATTTTCATAATCCAAAAGTTAATTAAATTGTATGCATGTTTATTAAGTGTTGGTTATTATGCACTATGTGTACAAAAATAAAACTTTTTTCTATCCAAAAAATAAAATTGTGATAATATTTTTCTTCATGACTATGAAATAGAGGACGGGCGAGTAAAGAATAGGTATATTATCCATGTGTTTATTCTGATTAGACATTTGATTATTTTTAACACAACTTTCAAGGCGGATAGACTTAATATTCTGTTATTATTAATGAGTAAACACTATATTTTATAAACAATATTTGTTTGCTTAGAATAATTTATATGATTTTTTTTTTGGTAGTTATGTTAAATAAGTATTTAAAAATTTGTTTTTTGATAAGTTTAATGGGGCGACAAAATAAAATTTGCCTAAGGACGGCAATTGTGTAAATCTGTCTCTAACTACACAGCATAGTAACTCACATCTTACTCCATATATGGAGTTTAATGTGAATATAAATCAACTAAATGTAAAAATAAATTATCAACCAATAGATATATATGCAATATGTATTGCAAAATTTCGTTAACAATTGACTGAATTAATTTTTATTATTATATTATGAGATGGGTTATTAAAACAAATAAGACAATCAGGATTAATTTGAAATAAAGTGAAATACTGGTTTTAGGCGATCCCTTATTTTGCTCAATAGTAAATGTCAGTAATGTAATCAAGTGGATGGACGAGGCTGCACTTGAAATTTCTGCAAAATTTGAAATGCATTACATTACTGTTATGATGTTAGCAACATTGATATATATATTTGTGTGTATGCTAACATTACTTTTATTATGTTATTCTTTACTATGAGATTTTTTTCTTGATGTTATATGTAGTAGTTAATAATGGTACGCACATGTTTTCAGTTGTAATTCTATTTGTTTATATTATATAATTTCACTTGGTCATCTCCTAAGATATTACAATTACTAAGGTGTAAATCACAAAAATCATGATGTATCATACCATTTTTTTTTTTCTAGAATGGTTAGCAATACTGAAATGTGTTTTTAATGTTTGCATAATTTTATTTAAATTTTTTTTTTTAGTTTGGTCACTGAAGTTTCAGAGAAATTCTTATTTAAAAATGTTAACTTCAATAATATTTATCTAAATCGATCAATGGTTCAGTAAACTTGTATACCTACTATTATTTATACTTTACTCAAAAAATAGTAAGTATTAAATTTAAAATTATTAACAAAAAATAGTTTGATACCAAGGTACCTTAGAAGTTTCTTTTGCTATCTATAATGCTCTTTAGAAAAGCCAAATATTATGCAAAAATTCAAAAGTTGATGTTTCACAGTAATCAAAGATAAAAATATTTTTACTAATTTAACTTATCCAGAAAAAAAAAAGTAGTACAAAATTTGAGATTGTTTATTGATATATAAAAAAAGTTTTATAGAATAAATATACTTTGTATACTAAATTAATCCTAGTTAGGCCAATGACACGTACAAATTAGAGAATATAGCCTTAAAAGTATTATTATTTTCAAATCAAATGGAATAATCCAAGGCTATTTGATATCGAAATTCAAATTTTGCCACTTCTGTACATTTCTCCTTACTATTATTTTCAATGTTCCATTCAGAAAATAAAAAAAAAATTTAAGTATCAACCTACTAAAGTATGGTTTCACTTTTGTATTCAATTGTCTGTTTGTAAAACTATGTATGTAAATTATTCAGTATGTTTACAGCCAAAAAATGTGTTAATAGAAAACTAAAAAAAAAAAAAAAAAAAAATGGTACTCCCTCCACTTAAAATATAAATTAAATAGGTAAATCAAATTAATATGAACGATAACTAATGAGGATAACAAACTACATAAGGTTGCACATCTTCATTCAAAAATACTATAAATTAGATAGGTAGGTATCTATTAAAAATGCAACAAAATCTCAAATGTCTACAGAAATATGAAATATATATTGTAATATCTGGTTTTTAATATTGGTAGTCTAGAAAATCAATTAGAATAACATTTATACTCCATAACTTATTCACTAGTTGGTATATTAAACCTAGCATAGGTATATACTACAATGTTACTTATAGGTAATATGATAATTTTTGTTATGGTTATTGATGATTTAATCATTTTGAACTAACTGAACTCAATAACGTTGTCAAACATAAGATAATCTATATTGTGTGTATATATATATATATATATATATAAATGAAATTGAAATTTTGTTGGTGTCACCATAATTTAAAAATTAAAGTTATCCAGAGAAAAAAATGAATAAAATAAACATTGAAAAACTAATAAATTAGCATGGTATGTGAAATTTATTCAGAATCAATTTCTCACAATACCTATATAACACCAGAAATTTAATACAAACCTAACCTAACCTAACCTTTTCTGTTCATTCTAAATGCGGGCTTGGCTTTTCTTAGTCAACCCCACAGGCGTAACATAATGGTTTTCTGTGAGGAGGCTATAGCCCCAAAAAAATTGTTTACATGGGTACATACAAAGGTGATATACATATCTACCTACTTGTGGGTGCTGCCATGACGATGTCCCGCCCTTAGTATAGTATGTAGGTATACAATAATACGAGAATACAAATTAAGAATTGCAAATAAATTAAAAAATTAAGTTTAACTTATACTTTTTTCGGCCAAAGTATTTAGAATTTAATATTAACAAGATTAATATTGTTTGTCTCCTATATGACTTAATGATACATTTGAAAACTTCTCATTGGACATAACACTCTAGACAACGTTTTTAATCGCCGTATTACCGAAAATGAACGTCACATGATGCTGAACTTCCTGATTGTAGAAATGTATGTTTTTATAGAGAAAATTGTAATATTAATGATTGATTTAATATTATCTATATCAATATCATTTATATTAATACTAATTACATTATTTTTATTTCAACATTAGGATTACAAATCTCCCGAAGAAATCTTTATGAAGAAATAAATTGCTGGTAGAAAAATAGTTAACAGACAAAAAATAAAAATCACACATCATAGTAATACACTCTAAATCTAAAAACACACATCATATTTCATATAAGTAAAATCAATTTACGCTCCTCGCTTCACTAAAATTCTAAAAAAAAATAATTTAAAACACTGTAACCTCTTCTAAACAGTTGGACGATAATATCTAAAAGATATCATATTAATAATTTGACAATCAGACAATTAAACTAATACCATTGTAGTGCACATCTAGTTAATACTAAATATTACAAACTTCAACAACTGTCCGCTATGTCAAAATTTAAACATTTAAATTTCAAAGATAAACAAACCCAAAATAATAAACTCTTAATAATAATATTACATATATTTATTAAGCTATACAGGAAATTATATCGTCAATTGTCAATTGTCTTGGTACATCACACGTCATACCGTTAACGTTAAAATATATACCTAGGTATCACATATTAGACAATTTCCCTAATCTATACACAGCCCATTTAATTACTATTTTCAAATTATTTTGTTGCGAGTTTTTCTGTATTTATTGTTATTTATAAATAGTTACAGTTTTAATTCTATAATATGTCTAAATATTGGAAATACCTAGATAATCTTCCGAAAAATATCATTGTTTTCTTTGACTCGAAAACAATGTCTTCTTATAAAATCGGAAGTACCTAGATATGTACATACTTTTTTAATCTAAACGCCGATTTGCATAGGTACCTATGAAGTGATATTTATTACCACGTAATTTTAATGCATATTCATTAATTAATGAAGTATACGAATTAAGTCGACACCTATAGGTGCCTTAAGTCCGTGTTTACACTGAGCTAACATTGTTAAACATATTGGTAACTATTTTACTAACAGGTGTTCTCAACCAAAAACTAGATAGTGTTATGAATTTGGTTAGTGTATCTAACAAGTCTTTTTTGCTAAGAGAGCAGTAGAAAATCAAAGGATGTTAAAAACGCGCCGGAAACATTCAATGTTATCGAATGTAATCAGTTTGGGTAAATAAACCCAAAATACAATACGTTTATACACTATATTGTCTGTAAAAATAACACGATAATAGGTACTTTAATAATAATAAATCGGTGCAATAATTTATTTGTTATTTTATTAACTTTATAAGTTTAAGTAGCTATAATATTTTTACAGTCAAAAATTACTAGATTTTGATTAAAATTAAAGGTATCAGGAAATTTTTTTCTTCAAACTTTACACAAACTTCTTTTTCAGAATAATCTAAACAATTGGAATGATTTCGAAACGTCTATTTACTAAGATAAGGTTTTACTAAGATGTTTTTTTTTTCTTCTAGTCTGTGGAAACGTTTTTTCCTAGTAAACTTGCTCCGATTTTTACGTGTAACAACTTTACTGAAATCTCAAGTTGTCTAAATGGTACTTCTAATTTTTGACGCCATTTTTATATAAAAAAGCACTTAAGTGGGAAAAAACGTAGGAAAACGTACAATTTCACAATTTCGTTATTTATAAAAACACGGACGACGTTTTCAACCAGAAAGAATGATTTAACACCTTTTTTTTCGCCTATTTGATTTACTCTCTTACGAGTTTTAATTATTGGCAATTTTTTGCTGTAATTCGGTTATAAATACACGTAAAGACTTGAAACTTGGTAATAATACTTATATTGAATTTACCTAGACGTGGTAAAATTTCCAAAATCATCGGACGACTTTTTTAATTTTTTTACAATTGTACTTTTTTTATGTATATACTATAGACCACTTTTATCCTAGAAAACTTGCTCTATCTGATGTATAAGTGTAGCACCTTTTCTGAAAGTCAATTTTATTTATTTGGTAAATACATAGGTTATTTTTTGATTTTCGAAACTGTATTTAAAATAAAAACGATTAACCAAGAAAAAAAAAAGATTTTTCACGATTTCATTATTTTAAATAAGTACCTACCACGTTTTCTAGCACAAATATGGCTCCAGTTGAAAAACCACAAGAGACCTTTTTTGTTGAATTATTAATCTTTTTTTTAATGATGTAGTTCGTTTTTTTGATTTTCGAATTAGTTTTCATAATAATCGGGAAAAAACGTAAGAAAAACGTAAAATTTCACGATATTATTGTTTTACATGAATACAGAAAACGTTTATTAATAGGAAAAGTGCTTTAATCGCAAAAATACAAGAATTCTATGTGCCTATGTGCAATATCTCATAGTTTACGTAACTTCAATTGATAAAAAAAATAATAAATAAAAATAATTGATGTCGTTTGTCAAGCTAAGATGATGTGGAAAATTACACAAAATTGTATTTATTATATAATCATCTAAAGTACAAAAGTATAAAAAAAGGTTGATACTGTTCAAGGAGAGAAGTTTGAAAGGATGTGATAATATAGTGTCTTATTCTCTTCAACAACAAGAGACCATATTTTTGTTGAACTTTTTTTTTATTAAATGATTTTGAAATATCATATTTTAACAAAAGTACCGAAAAAAAATACGGCACTTCAAATTATGTATTACCGAACTACGCTCGGAATCGTCTTTCGTCAACAATGGTTTATCGTTGCTTACAGATATAAATGAAATAACCTTATATATCCTATCTTCCCAACTTCTCAACTACAACAGTGGCCTCTTCCGTCCTCAGTATCAGCTCTTTTTTTAAATTTTATAACACTCTTCCCACGCCAAGTCTCGAAAACGTCGGAAACACTGACTATATTACGTATAAATCACGTTGAAAATAACAAGTGTATCATAATCAATACACTAGTCACTAGTGTATATGTCATAGTCTATCATAGCCTGTAGATAAACTGATTACTTGTTTTATTTATGTAGAACCAAAACCCGCAAGTATGTGTACTGTACTCAACCGTGTTTTATAATTGAATGTAAAAATATCGAAATCTACCCAAACGTGTAGCCGGTTTGTTATTGGCTAGTAATATTTAATAATTACTCCAATTAGGTCACAGTTTAATATTTCAGGTAGGTATCTATTTAACAAACAGCAATTTAAATTTTAAAAAAAAATAATAATAACAATAAAAAAAACAACTTACGACATGGTGTTTATTAGTAATTTAACTACCTAAATCAGAAGTTCCCAAATTTTTTTGACTCACAGCACCCTTAATTATTTTCTAAAACTTCGGAGGCACCCTATGGCCTATACTCTATACAGAATACGTAATAGTAATGTATATTTTGTAACTTCGGTTTTATTTAGCTAAATGCCTTAGTATAAACAAAAGTAATAGGTATCTGGTATATACACATATTATATTTTATAAAACAAATATTACATTGAACATTAACTATAGCAATCGATAGCAATTGAACCAGTATGAAAATATTATATCGTAATACTGTAGGCCACTGGCCTTGGCCAGTAGTAAGTTTCCTATAATATATTACGGATAATGGATAAATTTTTATTATTATTATTATTTCTGCTATCGTAATATTGTCTATTTTTAGCAAGATGATTATAGTAAGAAAATAGGAACTCTGTCGATTACAAATGTACGACGATCTCTGAAATATATTTATTTGTGAGTCACCAATATTTGTATTATGTTTATGGGCCCCTAAAATTATTTGGCCCTAGGCCAAATCATCTTGATCTGGACATGATATTATAACGTTATACCATTATACAAATAATCAATTTTCGATAAATCACTCATTTAACTTTAGATTCTGGGTGAATTTTGCCATTTGAGTGTGCCCACTTAAATGGATCACCGGATATATTATTATTTTTACAAGTGTATGCTATATACCCTGTATGTCCACCGCGTTGAACAGATTTTATATCTTTGTTAATATTCTATTTATTTTAGATTCTTAGTGGAGCGAAGAAGCTCATGATTTTACAAAGTTGTTTATTTTTTTTTTATTAGTGGATCTTTTCTACTAGCAATTATGCTCCAATTTACAATAATAGCATTTTTCTAAAAGGAAAAACCGAAAAATAGATACAATATTAAAAAAATAATATTTTAATGAAAATATATAATGCCTATGTAATTATTTTACTATAATACAGCATATATATTGTTAACAGAGCAACACTATCAACAGAACTTCGCTCAGAATCGTTTTTCGCTAGAAATAGTCTATTGTTGCTTACAAATATACATTAAATTTCCCCTCTACTACCTTCCCAACTTCTCATATACAACAGTGGCTGCCCCCACGTGCTAAGTAAAACGCGAGTCGCGTTTTACATTTGACTGTGATATACCTGATGATGAATTTATAAGACGAAACCGGTCTTATAATATCTTATCTTAATACTCCCAAAATTTAAATGGAGTTCCCTTCTCCGTTTGTTCAAATTTCACATCTCTGCTAAAAATTAATTTATACATCGGGTGTAGTTACCAAATTATTTTTAAAAAATGATCATCCCAATAAATTTTTAAGTTCTAAAATCTCTGATAAGTTAGTAATTTTAAAATCGCATTTATTTTACAGCTATTTAAAATGAATCGATCGGCCAAAGTAAAAAGCTACGTGAACTTAGCCCTCCCACTTTGTTTATAAATTCTATTTCTTTTTAATAATTTACAAATTTTAAAGATTGACTTTACAATTATTTACAAGGGATAAACCAATTGTTTACAATTTGTCAGGAAGTGATCGGCCAAAGTGGGAGGGGGGCATCTTTACATACATAATTTTGTCTACAATCGTAGCCACGCATAATCTACCTCTTATGTGAGAATTCCTTATCATATCTTTTCTCGTCACTCCATCCATCCAACTAAGCATTCCTATCTTTACAACACTGTTTTATTTTTCTGTCTACCGACCAACACTCCAAATAATACAATATTAAACTTATTTTAAATCTAATTAGAATTATCTTGTATTAATTTACCTACCTATTCCTATACCTATACAGAACTGTATCCCCCGGTTTAATATTATATGAATCATTGGTGAACAAACGATGGGGGGATGTAAGGGGAATACATTCCCTATAACACGTTTTTCTTCAATATTTATAATAATACAGGATGATTCTTTTATCGTTGAACACTAATTATTTCGCAAAGTACCTAATGACTTAAGAAACATAATGTTCTAAAATGTACATTATTATTATTTTTTGGGATGAAACGACTATCAACTTTTGATTTTAAAATGGTAACCTACATTCAAAGTTCCATAAATGGATAGAGTATTAGTTTAAATGAGTTTTGGTGTTGAAATTGGTGATTTCTGTCAACCCGCTCATGATATATTCCACATTCAAGTTTAGATAGGGAAGAAGTAGCAGAGTATCATTTGGATAGCAGTATGCCACGCGGCGTTTAAAGAGTACTCCACTACTCTCCCCTACCAACACTCAAAAGTGGAATATCTCGTAAACGGGTTGACGGAAATCAAAAATGTCAACAATTAAATTTATTTAAACTAATTATACTTTATTTTAACTAATATTTTTAATGTAGGTTACTATTAGAAAATTCAAAATTCAAAAGTAGATCCCCGAAAATAAGGATGACAAAAATAATATCAATGCAAATATTAAATCTAGTTCTTTAATTGTTAAACTTTTTTTTAAAAGTTAATATTTTGCTAAATAATGAGTGTTCAGCAATAAAAGAATTAACCTGTAAATAATACATTAATATATATAAAAACAATAATAATAATTGCTAAAAAAATTAGCCTCATTCCCTGATGAAAAAAATCATGTGACCACCACTAAGTTGAATAAACCTGTTATCTATTGTAATCATAGACAACTGAACTGAAACTGTGTAAGAAATAAAAATCCATTAGCATCTAATACAACATAGGTACAGTAACTGCGTGTAAAAATGTAGAATATTTCACTAGTCAGCAGTCACACTAAAAACGGTACCTAGTATTAAAAAAAGTACCCAAGTAACGGAATTATCGGACTATCATAGTTATTCAACTCACCGAGATACTTTTATTATCTTCAAATGGACATCGTCATTTCTCAGGCAAAACACATTAATTACGTTATTATCAGACGACAATAATAATAATAATATTATATAGCTACATAGCTGGCTAAATTTGTACCTTTTGCTTTTTAGTTATAGACTGTTTTCTTATGAGATTGTTGAGAACATTTAGAAGTCATAACTATTGGCAAGTCAAGGAAAAATATAATACTTAAATACGATAGTCGATAAGTAACAATAATAATATCTGTTATCCAAAATATTATTATCTATCATTTAAATCGGATTGTGACTTATTAGACATTCTATGATTTCCAATGGTATTTATCAAGGGGGGGAGGAGTTCGGAGGTTTAGGCGTCTATAATCATCTTTATCTTACTTATCGTTAAAAAAAGGATTGTGGGGGTTTATAACATTAAAAAACCCCTGTGTGCAGGCTACGCCATTGATGGTATCAATAATATCTTATAAGTATAGGTACCAGTACCGACCTGTCGTGTTCGTAGACCTTTTGTTGTCCGCTAAAACACCGGTTGTCCGACACCAAATCTAATTGCTGCTTCATGTTGGATGTAGGACAGCTATAACGAAGAGTTCATCACGCGAAGACCGCAAAACGTCGACTGAGCAGTGACTCACTGCCAGTGAGCACTGAGAAAGCGTTTTCGGTGCGATGAAACGGCAAAAAAATATATATATATAATATATTATTATCGTAGCGAACTCTTTTCACCGGCGCGGGAGCTACTGTGACCACGGACGGACGGTCACGCGATCTGTGTGATAAACACGGTGGTAACGAGCGCAAACAATTAATAACGGTTACAGCAGCGCGGCAACGTCGTTCGAGGAAAAACAGTAACTATACCAAGTGCCGACTAACACACTACACAGTGACGCATGGCATTAGAAGGACTCCCCGTTCGTCGTGAAATGTGACACAATTCGAATACTAGACGGACAGGTTAAACGCCGCCGCTGCCAGCAGCTGTGAACTAGATAGTCTATTAGTATTTTTTATGGTTATTGTTTGTGTGACGCAGTCGACAAATAACGACTAACGTGTAACGATATTATTGAACAGAATAATAACCATTATGAACTATTATTATTACCGAGAGTAACAGATTGTTTGAAGCTATATTAATTTGCTCCGAAAACCGGAGGATGCTTGGTGGATATAGGCCAAAGGAAGTTAGGTGATGGTAATATTGTATAATCTATACCCGTAGTTTACTTCAAAAAGTTGACGGTCAAAAACAGCACTACATTTTGATTTTAAACCGTAATAATAGATACCATAATATACCATTTACCGAGTATTTGAGAATTATTCTGTCATACATAAATACCGTAAAATCCTAAATACTTGGAAATATTAAATATTTAGTACAGTACTATACTATACTCAGTAAGTATACCAATGACCTAGTACCTACTCTATATAAAACAATTTCATGCGAACGTTATATTATTCGGGTTTGAACATTATTGATTACTAGGGCACGGATTGTTATGTAATAAAAAAATATAAATAAATAAATATTTATGTTGTTTTATTGGCAAACATACAATAAAAAAGCTGTCCTAGGATAACGAGGACGGGTACAGCCATTGGTATAGGTAATTCAGTGTATATCTGTTAGCAGCGATTAACCATTGCTAACGAAAAAACAATTTTGAGCGGAGTTCAGTTAATAGTTTAGTTGCTTTATCAACAATATATATATATGTCATATTATGGTAAAATAATTACATAAGTATTATATCTTTTCTTTAAAAATATATGTTCAATATTGTACCTGTTTTCCCGTTTTTCCTACGGTTTTCCCATGGTTTTTCCCGAATTTCACATTCATTGAAAAACTAGTGAGAAAATCAAAAAAAATAACCTCTTCAAAGTACCTCCCTAGTCGGCTTTCCTTTTAAGAAAAATTGCACACAGATAACAAAAAAAATATAAAATTTTTGTTAAACCATAAGCTTCTTCGCTCCATTCAAAATCTAAAACATGAAATATTAAACTTAATGATTCATTTGTAATTTTAATCATACAAATATATATATATTTTATATATTTTTAAGTATATTTTTATATAACCTATATATACTTATATATATTATATATATATATAAGTTTAATAAAATAAATTAAATTGTTTTAGATTCTGAGCGGAGCGATCAGACGTAATCGAAACTCGAGAAGGGTTAAAAAATCAAAACGGGACACAGTCAGACCATGTCCGTGATTATATCTCAAAATTAATTTGTAACGGCTGAAGGAGCGTTCAATGTTGACCAAGAATAATGGTAAGGTTTCATACTTGATATGTTTTCATTTTTATTCAGAAGAATATTTTTAATATATTTTTATATAATAATGATTTATGAATAAAACCAATTTATATTTTACAAATACACTAAGATAATTGTATCACGTTTTAATAAATTATTGTTATAATTATTATACATTTTTACTGATTGTAAAAGAATATAATTTAATTAACTTATTAGTATTTATATAAATAGGTCCTTTTGAAAAATCGGATATTAAGTGCCCAAACGTGCTGCATCGGATTTCTTTTCAAACCTATTTTGTCCTACATCCCATGCTAAATGCAAATGTGTTTTTTACAATAATAATATTATACTGCTTACTACAGGTTTATAGTACACAATGCATGCGATATATATCCAAGGTGTCCGGAAATTGTATACACAGTTTTTGTACCGTTAACGTATTTACAGACCGTATCTACAATTTCACATAAAACGATAACGTCGTTATATTATTTAAACTTGTTATTTCTACCTAACAGACTCAATTTTTTTCTCTCATAGATTTCGGAATTTAATAGAACGGAAAAGACAAGTAACTCCTTTTCGCAGGTCTGTTTCGTCGTGTAGAAACAATGACGGTTTATACTGTGGCGAATTTGCATTTTTAATTAGGAAACATTTGCAATACGATTTATCTACCTTGCCATAATTATACTATACACCCTGTATGTCCACCGTGTTCAACAGATTTTTATATCTTTGTTATTTTTTTTATTTTTTTTAGATTCTTAATGGAGCGAAGAAGCTCATGGTTTTACTAAGTGAAAGATGTTTATTTTTTTTATCTGAGGGCAACTTTTGTACCAGCAATTTTGCTCCAATTTTTTTCTTTAAGGATAAACGGGAAAATAAATACAATATTAAACAAATATTAATGTAAAGAAAATATATAATGCTTATGTAATTATTTTACCATAATATGGCACATATATTGTTAACAAAGCAACATTATAAACAGAACTTTGCTCAAAATCATTTTTCGTTAGGAATAGTTTATCATTGCTTACAGATATACATTAAGTTTCCCCTTTACTACCTTACCAACTTTTAACATACAATAGTAACTGTCCCCACGTGCAAATTTGTACGGATTTTTTCAATCGGATGTTCTTTCAGGGAGACATATAGGCAGTGACGTTCTCAGGAATTTCCAATTATCAGGAGAATTGTAGGTAATTTCTAGAAAAATATGTATGGGGCTACCAGCGCACACCCCTCAAGTTATAACATATGCAATATTTTAAATTCCGAGTTTAGAAGAATGTATTAGTTTTACAGAGATGTTTATTATTATTTTATTATTATTATTATTATTATTTTATTTTTATTATTTTTTTTGTTAACACTTTTTCTATCAGAAAGCATAATAGCTCAAAAATTGATCAAATGTTCTAAAATGTTTTTCCGCGTCTAGAAAAAGTCAATATAAATTTTTCTGTCAACATTTTAAGTCCTTACGAAAATTTAAAACCAAGTTACATATTTTCATTACGACAAAATTTAAAATAATAATTCATTTCGTAAATTTGTCCGTTCCTTCTGCGTACTTTTTGGTTTCGTTCAATTTCAAAAAAAACAGCAAAAAAAATCAAAAAACAATTAACTGTTGTTAACAAAAAAGATCTCTTGATGGTTTTCTATTGGAGCAATATTTTTGATAGAAAACTTAGGCCATACAAACTTAAAATAATGAAATTGTTATAATGTAATTTGAAAAAAAAAAATCATATTTTTCGTCTCTTGATTTTTCCAAATTATTATAAAAAATACTATAAATATCAAAAAAGGAATTACTTTGCAATAAATGAACTATTTATAGACATTTTAATTTTTTCACGTGAGTTTTATTTAGTAGATAATCTGTGGATAAATTTTTAGACTTTATGGTAAAAAAAAAAAAAACAAAATGTAGTTTTTTTTTTGATATAAGAGTTTAAAATCAACATTTTATGAAATTTGTAATTACGGCGTTTCAAACATGTATAACTAAACTTAAAAAATTAATGTTGGTAAAATTAAAAATGATATTAAAATAAAGCTAAAACAACTCCGTAATGATTAAAAAAAAAAAAAAAGTAAAATCCTTAAATACTTCAATCCGCTAAAACACTTCCAAGAAAATTGCTAATTCATGTTAAAAACGTCTTTAGATAATGAGGACAGGTGCAACCACTGTTATAGATAATTTAATGTAGACCTATAAGCAATGATAAACCATAACCTAACCTAACCTAACCTAACCATTGCAAAACGATTCTGAACGGAGTTAAGATGATAGTGATGCATTGTCAACAATATATATGTTATTTTATATTAAAATAATTAAATAGGCTTTATATATTTTCTTTAATAATATTTGTTTAATGTTGTACCGATTTGCCCAGTTTTCCTACGTTTTTCTCTTTTTACTCATTTTTTTTGGTTTTAAAATTTGTTGAGAAAACTTTGGAGAAAATCGAAAAACAACCTTTTATGACATTTGTTCCATGAATACTTTGTTCCACGAGTAAAACATGGAAAAGTGTTTTTTGGAATAAATGTTCACTAACCACAAACAATTTGTTCCATAAACATTTGATCCAACAGACCTATATGCAGCAAATATGTCTTCCAATGAACTTTTGTTCCATACATAATATATTTTTATGTATTCCAGGTTTTCCTGGAAAAAGTGTTTTGCTTTTGTTCCACAATATATTTTCTCCATAACCCATATGTTTAATAACTAACAATAAACCAGGTTTTCCTCTTTCAATTTGTTGTCTAAATTTCACTAAATTATATAATAGGATATAAAGTAACTATAAATAACAACTAATAATTTATAATCTATTACTTACTTATTATTAGTTGCAATAACTTTTTTTCTAAACAATATTTTTAGAGTATGGTTTTTTTTTTTTTAATATTATTAAGTTCCTATAGGACAACATTTTTTTAAATTTTTCGATCATTTTTGGAATATCTAATAAAATATGTAGGGTACTATTCAAGATAATAAGACAACTTGGCGGCCAACTTGTGTGAAGGGGTGCCACATTGCTACACGGCATACAAATTGCAGATAGTTAACTTGGTAAGGAAAACAGAAAAGTGTTACATGACCGCCTGTCTAACATAAACTAGTCATCATCAAGTTGTCTTCTTAATTTGAATATAGTATATTATATGAATGTAATGTCATTGGTTATAAATACTAGTGTAATAATCAATAAATATATAAATAAATAAAATATCAAAAATATTATTTAGAAAAAAAAAATGATTTACTGCGAGAAATCTGTAATATAAATATTTTATTAATAATATATAACTTTGTATTTTCTAATATATTTATGTACTTTAGTTAGTTGTAGTTTAGTTGTTTTTGCTGAAGCGGTTCTCATTTTAGATAACTTCATTTTTATTGATTTTTTACTCAAATAGTAAGATAAATTAAGAAAAATGGTAGGAACTGCACCTACTTACAAAATGTATATTATATATCTTTCCCCTTATAATACAGTCATCGATAAAATGTAATTCGCAAACATGATCTTTTGAAGTTGGGTTTTGATCGGCTCGTGGAATCTTTATATTCTAAACTTCAATCTGTTAAACAGTATATATATATAAAAAAAAAACGTTGATCTATATAAAATGACAAGAAACCTTTTTTTGTTACATTTTAGATCTAGTTTCTTGCGGTACAAGGAATATTTTATATGATTTCACATGTATTTTACACGTTTTCAGCTTGCATAGGACATACAGCGCTTCCAGTGGTGATAACTATTTGTGGTAAAATTTTTAAACAAGTGACGAAACCTTATTAATAAACCTGCATCACAGTAAAACCTTTTGATCCTTCCTTGTACTTCGATTCTGAAAAATAGGTTAAGTAAGTATCTACTACCTTCTAACTCTTGACTTCGATGTTTTTATATCAAATTGTCATCAGATACATACAATTTACGAGGAACATCGCAATATATAGGATTTCTTTTCTGATTGATCATCGTGTTGAAGTATGGCTTTTAGCAACCAATTATCAAGTTTAATAATGAGGATAATGAGGAACATACGAAAACCGTATTACGTCGAGTAAATTATTATGAAGTTGAGATTTTGGATTTTACCAATAGTTGTGGGAACTCATAATTATAAATAATTATTTAGCCATGTTTACGGTGACGTTAAATACGCCGACGCGTATATACGAGTATTTTTCAAAGTTGAACGATAACATTTCCGTCCGTACTTGTACTGGAACTAATCCAGCAATATATTTATTTGAAACTCGACCAATATCGAGACAGAGCATTTTCGATGAACTAAATTATTTACTAAATAGTTAGAAATTGGAAATTGTGCGCGATCCCCTATAAATAACTATTGGCATCAAAACGCAGCAAACTTCCCCCTTTTACCCCGTTTCCCACCTCAGATGAGAACATGCACACACACACACAAATGCAAATTTTGTCAGTATAATACCGAACTGAGAATTCACTTGATAGGCTCGCTCGTTCGAAAAATATATTATCGGCGTAAATACATGGAACCCAATTTTCAGATACACAAATGTTTGCGAAATATAAATACATTAGAATAAATATTTTGTGATTAGTGGATATTTCTTCCAAAAAAATGTATTCCAATACAATTTCGTTTCGCAAATGTTTCTTTCAATGGATATTGTTCCGCGATATTTTGTTCCATAAAACATAATGTAGAACAAACGTTTTATGAAACAAATGGTCATTGGACAACTGATTTTAGAAGAAATATATATCAGACTAAATGTTTATGTTGACAAATAGTTTGTGGCACAAGTACAACAACTATAGTGGCACTTCTTCCAAAATCATTTGTTCCACACATTTTGTGGAACAAATATTATAGGCCCCAGAAATACACATAATAATCAATCTTCAGACATTTATATAAGGTCTGATCAAACACCTTATCAACTTAAAGAACTTGTATGAATAAATTTCGCGACGAATTAGTCACGTAGGTGAAAATGATTTAACAATAAAATATGTAAATGTATATCTGTAGACTGCAATTATTTAAAAGGATCGCCGTTCTACAAATCAGTTAAATAATATTGTACATTAAATATTTTTTTATCAAAATGTAAGGGGTTTATTGAGTAAACTTCCGTTTTATCGTAATTCTGTTCTTAATGTACATTATATTTTATTCATTACCGAATCATGGCTTAATAATCGTATATATGATGCTGACTTTGATTTTCCAGATTTTAATCTATTTAGAAATGACCGACAGGGCAGAAAAGGTGGTATTTCAACTGTCATAATAAAAAATTTGTTTTGATTCTATTGATGGAATTGGACAACTTTTTCTTAAACGAACTTTGCCAAATGATATCACATTCATTATTGGGTTTTTTTATTAACCTACCCCTCTTTTAGACCATTGAAAGGTACTCTGAGCATTTTAATCTTCTTGAATCTATTGCTTTAAAGTTTATAGATTGTTATTTTCCAATAGCAGGTGATTTTAATCTAAACTCTTTTGGACTATGATTCCACGAGCTAAAATCACTTAGCTGGTAATACTTTATCAAATTGTTACATTAATCTTTTAAAGTTTAAGCAGGTTAATAATTAGAGCTCGAGACTTTTAGCACTAAAAAACTATGAAATATGCGCTATAATATGCCATGCTAAATCGTAAAATATGCACTATAATATACTCTAAAAAAATTAAGTTACCACAGTAATAATTTGCTGCATTGATCCAGGTATCCCAACTGGTAATTACAGGCTCTGGAGGTAGACTTATTTCAGAAGCTTTGACTTTGAAAAGTTAAACAAGAGTCGGAGCTTTTCTAAAAGTCTTTTTAACACTAGCTATGCCATTATCAACTGATTTAAATTAACCTCTTACTTCTTCTGCCACTCTATGTAAAGCAACACTTACTGCTCACTAAGTATAAATCACAGAACTACTTCATTTATTTCAGATTAATTGTATGTATGCAAAAAAATAGCAGAAAAAATACAAAAACCCTAAAATATGCACTAAAACTTTTAAAACTAAATTCCTTTTAGTATGAAACAGATTTTTAACTTACTCTGCTGTATTTTAACATGTTATAAATAAATATGCAAATACTAAGTCTCGAGCTCTGTTAATAATATTAGTAATGCTAATGGTAGACATCTTGTTTGTTTACAAATAATGATGTTATGTTTATCTTTTCTGGGGCTCTATAGTTTCAAATGTCGATATACATCACCCTCTTATGGAATAAATTTTAAAATTTTATGTACCTTGTTATTAATCAATCCATCGTTTTAACAAATACAATTATATTGATATTTCCAATTTTCTCTCTTATATTAATTTTGAATAATACATAGAAAAACTTTCCCTTAAAAACTTAATAATTAAGTTTTATGAAATTATTCATCATTCATTTAGTATCTTTGATTTTAAAATTATTATTAATGAGAACTATTTTCCCATATAGGCTGATAAATACCTTAAAAATTTAATAATTAATAAAAATGTGCTCATAAAACATATAAGATTAGTGATTTACTGGTTTATATTCAGATATTTTAATTTGTTCACATCTCCAAAAACAATGTAAACATTTTAATATCAGCTATACTTATTCTAATTTTATGTCAAATATTAAAAATAACATTCAAATTAATATAAAGGTTTTTTTGAAAATATATTAACTCTTTAAAAAAGAATAGTCTAAATATTTCTGATATTGTATCTTACAATCAAGTTCTATCTTCAAACAACCAAGAAAAAGTTCAGTTTTTCGGCAATTATTTTTCTAGTGTATATTTTGAACCTATTAATTCATTCAAATATCTCAATTCTCTTTTTTGTATCAACTGAATTTACATGAATAGTTAATAAGTGAAAATGAGATTAATGAATATTTATGAATATTTAAACACTTAAGTTATTAATTCTGAATCAGGTCATCTATTTTCTTGAAACACTGGAGAAATGAATTTGTCAAACCATTATTTTACATTTTTGATAAATCTTTTAAAAGTGGATAATTTCCAGAAATTTGGAAAAATTCATATGTATACGAGACATGACCAGAAAGTAAGAGTACTGTTGCCCTCTAGGCCTGTGGACATTTTTTTTCAAAGTTCGCCACATTTAACAGTTGTAGAAGTTCTCTTGACCACAATAAGCACTGACAAAACTCAATACTACAAAAATTGATTTTATAGTGAACATTTCTATTAAATTTGTCTATTTAAAATCTCGCCAAGTATTAAGTATGTGCTGTAATTCGGTTAAGACCTTTTGAACATTCTGCGAATTCCCCTGACATGATGTTGGCACCTTCAGACTTTTATCTTTTCACCTTCCTGAAGACACACATGGGTGGAAAAAATTGTTTAAACAACGAGAAAATAAAACAAGATATTCTGAACTGGAAGAAAGAGTTCTTTGAGGAGGGCATCAAAAAGCTCGTACCACGACTCAGTACCTGCATAGAACAAGAAGACGACTACATGGGAAAATAGCTTATATGCATATTAATAAAACCATGTATTTTTTTTTAAATACAATTCTTTTAAAAAATTAAGTACTCTTACTTTATGGACATGCCTCAAAACTCCAATATATAAGTCTGTTGATAAATCAAATGTTTGCCACTTATAGACCCATATCTAAATTATTAGCTATTCCTAAAATGTTCAAAACCGTTATTACTAAAAGGCTATCACTCTTAATGTCCCAGTAGATAGTAATCAACGTGGTTTTATACAAATCAAATTTATAATTACTAATCTAGTTTTATACCAATCTAAAATAATTTCTGTTTTTAATGAGGAGCGCCAAATTGATTATATTTATACAAACTTTCAAAAAGCATTTGACAAAGTTAACCGTCAACTCTTATCAAAGCTCGTCAAAGCTGGAATATTTTGGATTAAATCATATTTAATAAATCATTCTGCGTTCGTAAAATTGCTTTCTGTAGTTTCTTCTGATACTATAGTTCACTCTGGGGTACCACAAGGATCTCATTTAGGTCCTTTATTATTCAATCTATTTATTATTGATTTACCTAGTATCTTCAACACCCCTATAAATGTGTTCTTTTCTTCACTGATAATGCTAAAATATTTTTCGGTTATAAATTCAAACAATGATTATATTAATCTACAGTTTAGTATTGAAAAGCTTAATGAATAGAGTATTATTAATGGGTTACCTCTTAACATTAATAAGTATCAAGTAATATAGTTTTCATGTAAGAAAAAACCAACATTATATAACTATAGATTGAGCAATTCCATTTTAACAAGAGTTAACTACATTAAAGACTTGGGAATAATTTTTGAAAATAATCTTTCTTTTCCTCCCCATATTAATTTTTTAGCTAGTAATGCTTTCAGGATTCTGGGTTTCGTTAATAGAAATACTAAAGATTTTAAAAATATAAATACTTTAAAAATGTTAAATTTCTCTCTTGTTAGGCCCAAGCTCGAATTTGGTTCTTTGGTTTGATCTCTTAACTATGCAGCTTTTATTAATCATATTGAAAATATTCAATACAAATATACTGAATCCATCTGTTATAAATTAAATATTAGTATATCCAAGGATTCTTATCATTTACAATCTTCTCAGATATGTATTACATCTTGTAATCTCAGAAGAAAATTTACTGATTTAATGTTTTTATTTGACTTGCTTAATGGAAATATAGATTATCTAGAGTTACTTTCAATGGCTGACTTTCACACTAGTCATATCTTCAGGACTAATAAATTATTTTATGTTTTTTTTTTTTTTTTTTACCAATAATTATAGCTCAGCATTATATTTTCCTTAAGTTCTAATGTTAGCAAATTAATTAACATCTTGTATTGATTTTTTTTTATGTCTCGTGAAGTTTTTATGTCTAATGTATATTATAACACGTTAACTAATTGTATAATGTAATTTAATTTTTGTTCTATTTACTTATATATATTCCATTGTTATTATTTCATCAACTGTATTTTAAATTACTTGTGCCATTTACGATGTCACTTTTATTTGGTTAAAGAGTTTTTTCACCTATTTATAATTTATAAAATAAAATTAAAATAATAATAGTAATAACAATAAAAGTTCATGAATTACTACAATATAAACTAGATTTTCAATTATTCTATGAGGCCAATTTAAAACAATGGAATTTTATATGTTCCTCCATAAATGTTGATACGAAATAATATCCATGATCATAGCCGTCCTCGTAAAAAATGTTGGTCTTGATTTTTTCAGAATTATCAGTTGCATTCTTAAAATCATGAATAAATAGATCTTTTTCTAAATATTCATCATCAGTACCCTGTGAATATTATATTCAAATATTAATCAAATTTATTAGTTTATACTATACAGATAAAAGTGTTCACTTAATCATGTATAACTAATCACTTTAAAATAATTTCCAACAATTTGAGTTCAGAATTTTTTCTAGTAAATATATTTTCTACAAAGAAACAAGTACAATATAAAACTAAATTAATTCAAATTGTTAAAATGCATACCACATGTATTAATATTTCCAGTTCAGGACCATTGTAACTTTTTACTAAATAAGTTGGATCCCATTTTTGCCAATCTTCCACGACATCTCCAATTAATGCAGTTAACCCAGGGCGTAATGTAAGTGAATTTGAAATACTACAAGCTGGTGCAAATAATGAAACTGATTTATACTTTCCTGGATTAAGTAAAGTGCATAACAAAGCTCCGTGGCCACCCATACTATATAAAATTAAAATGAATTAAATTTTGACTGTAATATATTTACAAAAAAAACTTTGTAAAATAACCTGTGCCCAGTAATAGATATTTTATTTTTTATTACTGGAAAATGATTTTGTATTAGTTCATATAGTTCTTTGGTAATATAGGTGTACATCTGATAATGCTTATTCCAAGGTTCTTGGGTAGCATCTACATACATAGATGCACCAGCACCAACATTCCATGAATCATCTTCATTAGAAATAACATTTCCTATAAAATTAATACATGTATTTTACATAAAATAGCAATTAACAAAAATAAAATAATATTATTATTATTTATTTTTATAATGTGTTCAAAAATGGTTAGTTTGAATATAAATATTCAGAAAAATAATTTGTTCGCACAATAAACATAAATAAAGTATACTATTTTTCACGAAAGAACAGCGGAGAGTCTCAACAAAAACTAGTTATTTTTACGCATCCCCACGCCGCACCTCGCCCAGAGCTCCCACCACTATTAGGCCAGGTGTAATTTTGCGGACTGCCATCAACGACGAGAGCGGTAGCAAGTGATCCGTAAGCTCAGTCTGCGTGCGTGAATAACTTTCTCTCGTGAAAAATAGTATAGATGTTATGAGCTGTTTAATTTTTGAAATTCAAAAATCTACAACAACTATTCAGCGCAGTTACCAACACTGTTTCCTGTGCATGATGGGACAAAGAGGCCTCATTATGAAAAATGTTTAATATTTAGTTTAAGTTAATAACATATTTTAAATAGTTTTGTTCAGTTCAATTCAAATAAATAGGTTGTATGTGTAAATTTGTGCAGGATTAGTTTAGTTTGTGTTCATTAATTTTAAGAAAAGTTCAGTTCTGCCATAAAAATTCATATCATCAACAAAAAAAAACCTTATTTAGTCAAACTATATAAGATTATAAAAAATAATTATAGCCAGAACACTATAAGTAATAACCAGGGCGAGATTTTAGACCTTTTGCTAATTATTATAGGATACAGATAAAAATAAGCTTTATATTTGTTTTATGCACCAGGGACTCCAGATATGAAATTTTATATTGCTTTTTTTTTGCTAATATTATGTATAATATAATGATTTATTTTGTATTCTTAATAAATAGTAGAAAAAAACTGCGATTTATGTGAATCCATAAGCAAAATACCCACATTTAAAAATAATTAACAACTATTATTTTAATGGCACCACTCTTGATCATGTTTTTCTCCATAAAAATCTTGATATACTCAATCTTTTAACTTTGAACATCACATAAATGTAACTGTAGGTAAAATATTAAAAGTCTTGGGATTTATTAAGCGCAACACCACACATTTTTCTTTTGTGTTGCCTCCTGACATTATATTTCACGTTAGTACATTCAATATTAGAATATAGAGTGATAGTATGGCATCCTTACTTGGCTAAAGATGAATTTAGACTAGAATGTGTTCAAAATAGGTTTCTTTCCTACGCACGCAGCCCATTTCCTTAAATTACCACACCCATCAACATGACTTCTCCTTAATTCGTAGTATATTGGAAATTCCACTACGTTTATCCTACATAAGACATTGACGTGCAATTTATTTCTTCATGCTTAAGAGGCACCATAGATGCTTCTGATCTATTATAAAAGTAAGTTTTCGTATCCCTTTCGTCTTCTCCAGACATCACACTATCTTCCTAGTACCAGCCCACAGTATATCTATGGTAATAACCTCCTCTTACATAAAATGCTTCGTAATTTAAATAGCCTTAATTTTGATTTCAATCAAAAAATGATTTTTAATCATTTTAAATGTAAAACTAGTTGTAATGTTTTTATATTTAATTTAATTTTTATTTATTAATTTTTTTTTTTTATATGGTGGTAATATGTCACCACCTAATATGTATTTTGTTGTTTCTGCACTATTTTCGTTGTTACTGTGAATTATTAGTATTACATTATAAATAACTGTTACTTGTAAACCAAACCATAAATGTTATCACAAAATTGCTGACTGGTGTTAATAAATAAATAAATAATTAAGTTTAATTTGGAGCTGTTAAAAATGATACATATATATTATATACGCCATCATACATGCAACATTTGGAGCTAAGGTTAGAGGTAAAATCACTAATACATTATATATTTTATATTATGATATTATATTGATTCTGAGGAGCAGTCACGATGGTCGGTCCTACGGTTATGATGTGACAAAGCCTTCAGTCGGATCTCAATTATACGCATTTTAAATAAAATGATAAACTATTAAAATAATTATCATGTCTAAATTTAATTCCTATAAGCTTTAGAGTTATTAAATTTTGTTTCAGTTTATACTTATACTAAAGTGTATAAAGATATACAATTTTACACAATTATGTATCAGTTTAGATATCAACTTACTAGGGCTAGTGTCAGGAGCAACAATAATTATTTTATATTGAGCAGCAAATTTTTGAAATCCTGACTTAGTGATGACATTTTGTTCACTGCATGTTAAACCTGATAAGTAAAACAATACAGGGAATTTTTCAGAACGTATTGTTTCTGGAGGAATGTAAATAGCAAATTTCATGTTACATTGTAATGAAGAACTGAAAAATAAAAAAAATTAAATAAACATCTCGTAATCAGACGTACAGCAATTATCATAATTGTTTAAATAATTACCTAAAATGTTCATAAACTCGTTGAGAACCTCCAAAACATTTATTTTTTGAAATACAGTTAAGTTCAGAAGAATCCATTATATCTAAAAATTATAATACTAAAATGAAACAAACATTGGCAGATATATTTTATAATAAACAGTAAATTATTTAATATTTAATCATGTCACAGTAAAATATGTAAATACAGTATATAATTTATAGTTTTTAACCATATAAGTTTATGATCAATTATAAATTATAATTATTAAAATGAAATATGTATTCAAATAAAACATTTTTATTTCAATATAATCTGGAACAGATTAGGACTTCAGAAAGGTCAAGGAAATTGTATAATATATAGTGACCCATTAGCAGGCCCATATTAGAGTGCGGAAGAACCTTGTTGCCAAAGGGGCAATTTTTGTAGTCCATTAAAGAGTAATCAATTTGTATTGACATATATGATGGAATTATATAAATAATAGTGTACCTAAAAAACGACAACAGAAATAACCTATGTGATTACTGTTCTTTTAGAAATTTTACTGTTAAACAGAGGTTGATTTTATAATCATCTACAGTTATTATCAGAGTGATTATTTAATTTCTAATATGTATTACTGTTACATTTATTATATATTTAAAGTCAGAAATAAATTAGGTTTTTAAAAATTATGGAGATTAAGCATCCTAAAAGTTCTATTAAGTAATGAAATTAAAATCTAATGAAAAATATCCTAACTACCTAGATAATATGTATTAAAGATAACTATTAAAAGAAAAATCCTTAACCAGGCACCCCAAATGTTTCAACTTTTTTTGAAAATACCTACGTGTTTTTCGACTGGACAACACTTATTTTTCTATGACTTATTATTTTTTTTTAATATTTTGTAGTTTTTTCAAGCCGCCCATACACATTTCACTATAGCGTAATGGATTTACCTATCTACAAATTAAAGTTCAAACCCTATACATACTGCAGTTTTTGAGTATAAACATCTTGCGTATATATACATTGTGCAACAGTGAAATTTGTATGGGCTCGAAAAACTATATAAGCAAAACCCAATAACGACAAATTTTTAACAGCTACAACTTCTTTAATAATGATTTCTGCAAAAAAATTAATTCACTTTCAGAACAAGCATTTAAAAACACATATTAAAAAAAAAATTTAAAAATTAAAAAATTAGAAAAATAAAACGTGCCCACTAAAGTAGTTTTATATTTTAACGATAATTAAGTTTATGAAAAAAATACTTCTTTACAATAATTAAATAATATTATAAATAGAGCACGGATTTGCATATTTATTCTAGTTGATTGTATGATATGCTAAGTGGGCACAAAATTTGTTTTATGACATAACGATTTGAAAAATTAAACTTTTTAGTGCATATTTCGACAATCAGTTTTGCATATTTCATTTTTTAATACAAATTTCGGTGTTTTTTGTTTTCTAGACATTTTTGAAATATATACTATTATAATATAGGAAAAAAATATTATATTTATATAGTTTCGATTAATATCAAAATAAATTAATTGGTATACTTGTAGGCAAAACAACAGTTTCCCAAATATGACCTAAGATAAATAATCGGTGAAATAAAATACGTGTACCAAGATAAGAAAATATCGTTTACGGCCACTGAACATTGACATTTTAGTTATGTTAAAATATTTACCGTGCGTTCGTGTGTGCTTTCTGTCGTATTTTTTTTTACTATTTATGGGTATATTAACATTTTAGTGCATATAACTATGCATATTTAAGATTTGTTTAGCGTATATTTGGTTAGTTTTTAATACATTTAAATCCGTGCTCTAATTATAAATATAAATAATATACTTACCAACAACGTGTCGATGAAATATCTACACAGAAATCGCAATAAATATTTGATGTAAAACAATTATTTAATTTGTTTCATTTACTCTAGCATAGTACCTATTTAATTATTCGTATTACACAACCTTAGATACACACTACACCACGTTTAATAAGTGATAATACGAAAAAAAAAAAACCAAAGCATAGAGTTAAAAATTGTTAAGGGGAGTCCTCAACTACCCGTCGTTCAACCAACAACCAACATTATCACTCATTATCACTATTCATTTACCATTCACTAAAAATGCACGGTAATAATCGCATATTTTTAAAAATATATTATTATCATTATTATATTATATTATTTATGAGTATTTATTATTATTTTGCCATCAATATTTCTTCGTCTACACTTTATTCAGGTTTTTTATAATTCATATTATTTTCATTAAAAAAAGGCGATGTCGGTTTAAACCACGAATTGTCAATTGTAATACGGTCTTTTCCATTTAACCTATGTTTTAACTCCTAATCAAGTTTAAACCACTATTGTAATACGGGCTCTAAGTGTATTCTCATACCGAACGGAAAGATATTATCAATGTTTTTCTGTGTCCGCCCGGTTCTCACTGTTTGGCATGACAGCTAACGCTTTAAGACAAAATTGATATATAAATCAATTAACCAGTTTAAAGTTTAGACTGGAGGAGTAGGATATGTAATAAATTGCATATCTATTCTATAATAAATATTGACATAGTTTGTAAAGAGTAAACTAGATGATGTTAGTGGCCTTGTCAAAAAGTGAGAAAGTTCGAGTTTCACTTATCACACGTTTGTTCGATATTCTGTATATCTTAATTCATAAATAATAGTTATAGTCTATAGATTATCTATACTCTATAGTCGTAGTCACGGTCTTCTAAGACCATTGCCGTGGTCTTCAAGGTATCATCCTTGTTCTTTGATTAAGACCCGTTCTCACCAACGTAATCGTTGATTGGAACGGAGTTTATAAGATAATCGACAAATCGTGGTCGGTTATCAGCTATAAATTCAGTATAAGAATCAGATAATCGCCTTTTTTAATATTAGAGAATACGGCCCTAAGTATATATAGATTCGCGATTGATAGGATCTATAGGTAGCGATACTAATGATAAGGCTAACGAGGAGATGGGCGCGATGATAGCATTATAATAATAGTAATTATCCGAAATAATCCATTTATTACTAGTTTTAGATTCCAAGCGTAGCGATGGAGCTATTGGTTTTACTAAGGTGTTTATTTTTTTCGTCTTTGTTCTAGTTTAGATATTATGTAAGTGCAATACAAGTTTGAATTTAATTTATGCATTTTTATTATCCATTTAACTAAGACAATAATTATGGTTATCCATAATATCAACAAATAAAGCTATATTTATAATTATTACAACGAAACGAGAATGTTACAAAGGAACTCAGAAGTCAGTATTCAATATAATGTAATCAAACGTATATCATCCCCGGTAGAGCGGTTCTAATAAATTACACCAAGTAGCGACTTTTTTTGCTTTCAATCGCGAATAGTTCATGCAGTGATAAAATATGGAAACCTATTTATTAACAGCTTAATGTGTCAATAGATAGCGTTAAGTATTATAATGGACAAATAAATTGCATGCAATGTAATTTAAATGGCTGTGAATGATGGGAGGTCACGACAAATGTCAATAATCAATAGTCGTCTATCCGTACAGAAAACCGGTTTGAATAAAAGTAAACCTGAGATAAGAGAAAAATATAATATCCAATATAATTTAATCCAAAATCAATTTTATCAAATGGGTACCTACATAAAATATAATGCTTTTTTTGTAATTTCTTAAGTCTATATTACACCGGGAAAATGTTATAATATTATTGATACTTAATATTTTATCGAATTTCTCGAATTAAAAGAGTTATTTAATTGTGTGTAACTAATTATGTTCTTTATTTTTATTTTTTATTTTTTTTCTTATTTTCATTAAAAGCAATTTTAACTATTATATACATTGTTTTATAACGTTGTTAAAATCTTCGGCAGCGCTATAGAACTACACAAATCAAGTTTTTTTCCTTGTTCGACTGGGTCAATTATTTATACTTTAATATTTAATTTAAATTTATACTTTAAAAATAAATAAACATCTTTGTTAAACCATTGGCTTCTTCGCACCACTCAAAATCTAAAATCACAAAGAATAGTCAGTACTTTTCGAAATAATGAGTGTTTAACGATAAAGAATCACTCGGCATTATGCTTTATAATAAAGGCCTGGATATTTTCACTATCTTAAAATTTTACTTTTTTCTTCTATACATATGAACATCAAATAAAATACTAACATTGGTATTATACCGTTAATCAAATTTAAATTATATTTACCCGAAACTATAACGATAAAAATTAATAGTATGCAGTTATTTGACGATTTCTTCATCTTGATTGGAATATTCTATCGCCTAATATATATGTAAATGATAATTGATTAACGTAACGTAATGGGTATATAATACCCACGCATCACACATAAAAATGAACAGTAAATAAAACAATGAATGCATAGACAACCTGATCACACTTCAGTGCTACATTACATTTAAACTCTGATATATCCACTAGTCAGAACTATAATACATCAATACATGAGACAATTTTATAACTAATATACCAATTATTGATAATGTATGTTTTAAACGTTTATTAAATAAATTGTATTCGTCATGATCACAATTTCTCTGTCGACGAGTATTATTAATCCGCGTAGAAATTTAACTGTCTCTAATGTACTTATAAAAAAATCGTATAATTTGAATCAAAATCGTGTTGATTATGAAAAATGCAATAGTAAAATCTAAATTTGAATTTGTGTTTTCAAATTTCAATTATTGGCATTTTCAGTAAACCAGTTTTGCATGGATCAACCGGTGATGGATAGGGGGGTTAAGAATAATAAGGAGTTTAAGTATTGCACAAAATAAACATTATTTCATAAAGGAAAAATTACAAAAATTTGTATAAACGAAAATCAATTATTAAATGATAGATAACAGATGCATTATAACTCGTTTAATTTATAAGTAATGTAAATTAATAAAAAATTAAAAGTGTTACGATAAAAAACGTCCTAAGATATTGGGACGTGTGTTGTCACTGTTAGATAATTTAATGTATACCTGTAAGCAACGATAAACCATTGGGCGGTTACACAGTGGCCCACAACTGTGAGGTAGAGAGGAAATGTATTGTATATCTGTATATACATCGGTAAAATGTAGGTATTCGCTAAAAATATTATGTTTTTTTTTCCTGTGGACAACTTTTCTACCTGTTTTTTTACTCCAACTTTTAATAATAGCAATGTTTCTAAAAAAAATTCACCAGGGAGGAACTTTAGACAGGTAATTTTTCTAAGAGTTTTCCTAGTAAATGTGAAAAACTGGGAAAACCGGGAAAAACGTAGAAAAACCGGAAAAATCATTCGACAAATATTATTAAAGAAAATATATAAAGCCTATTTCATTATTTTACTATAAAATGACATATCTATTATTGACAAAGCATCACAATTAACTAAACTCTGGTCACCATTGTTTTATCGTAAGCAATGGTTTTTCGTTATTTACCAGTGTACATTAAATTACCTATAACAAAGGCTACACACACGTCCCCATTATTCTAGGTGTTTTTTAGTATTGTATTTGATTCATTTATTGAGTTATATTAATTATTTATAAATAACTATGTAATAAAAAATATAATCTTAGTACAATATTGTGGTCTGTGGTTGATAATATCTATAGCACTTATCAATATTAATGGTATTAATTTATTATATTACAATCAGGAGCACGGTCTTAGATCAGGACATGAAAGCATATAGTTTCATATCGGACGTGGAAATAGCCATTTCGTATATTTGGTATTTTTAAAATGCTTTTAATAAATATATAGAAAAAAATATGTCCTAGGATAATGAAGATGGGTGCAACCACTATTAAAGGTAATTTAATATATATCTGTAAGCAACGATAAACCATTGCTAAAGAAAAAACGATTCTGAGTGGAGTTCAGTTGATAGTGATGCATTTCCAACAATAGATATGTCATTTTCTAGTAATATAATGAAATAGGCTTTACATATTTGCTTTGATAATATTTATTTAATGTTGTACCAGTTTTTCCATGTTTTTCCCAAAATTTTCACGTTTGCTGGGAAATTCATGGGAAAATCAAAAAATAACCTCCTAAAGTACCTCTCCAGTTAGATTTTCTTTTAGAAAAAATGCCATCATTGTAAATCGGAGCAAAACTACTGTTAGAAAAATTGTACACAGAAAAAAAAAATCGTAATATTTTTTTACTATTACCTACATTTCGTACATTTTCCGTTTTTGTAAAATTTTTTCTCGGTTTTTCCCAGATTTTCGTCAAAATTTGATATTGAAATTCCTTTATAAAAAAAAATACTACATTACACTCTAATTTATTTTCTGACCACTAAGTACGACTTATTTATTATTTATCTATACAGAGTACCTACCAAATAAAAATTACGTGAAAAACTCGAAAAATTATATGTCTATAAATAACTAAAGTAAATGGCTTAAATATTTTGAAAATTTTATCACGTCTAAAAAAAATAAGTATACATTTGCTATTAATATTTCAAGTCACTACTAATTTTTTAACCTAAATTACAATGAAAAAACAAAATTAAAGATAATAAAAGAATTATTTTCGTAAAATTTCACATTTTTTATATATTTTAGATTTCGAGCATAACGAGAGACCTATTGGTTTTACTGAGATGTTTTTTTTTTTCTTCTAGTCTGTGGAAACGTTTTTTCTTAGTAAACTTGCTCCGATTTTTACGTGTAATAACATTTCTGAAAGCTCAAGTCTATATTGTACTTGATAAAGGTATTTTTAGATTTTCGACGCCATTTTTTTAAATAAAAGCACTTAAGTGGGAAAAACGTAGGAAAACGTACAATTTCACGATTTCATTATTTTATAAAAACACCGACGACATTTTCTTCAAGAAAAATGATTAAATCGAAAAATCATGACACCTTTCTTGTTGCCTTTTTGATTTAATTTCTTACGGTATCATCACCTATACTTTTGATCCACTTTTGAGCTTTTAAGGAATTTTAATTTTTAGAATGGTTTTGCTACAATTCAGTTATAAATAAAAGTAGACACTTGAAACTTGGTAATAATACTTGTATTGGATTTATTTGGACGATTTCCAAAATCATTGAACGACTTTTTTTCCTTTTTAAATTTTTTACAGTGGTACTTATTTTTATATATACATATACTGTAGACCACTTTAATTCTAGAAAACTTGCTCCTAGAAAACCAGGTGTAATCCCAACATCGGATCTCAATAATTATCATGCACATAAAGGATTTCTTAAGCGGGTATCTTATGAGTTTACACTCAATTCTTATCTTGAGACTCTGTATATTGCACAATTGTTTGTCCCATACTCGAGTATGGTTCGGTTTTTTGGGATTCATATGCTGCTACTTAGAGAGAGTTCAAAGACGCTTTCTGCCCTTCGTTGGTTTTGCTTTGAATATTCCCAACCACATTCACATCTACTTCCGTATTCTTCTAGAGTTAGGCTTGTCTAATCAAGCCGATGTATTTATTGATACTAATATATATTTCTTAAAATCGCTATACTTAAAAAATAACGTTATGATTATAAAGTTTAACGACCATATCTTCGATGATCATAAAAATAATCATAATATCAATAGAAATTTCACCCCGTAAACAAAAAATCATGACTTGAGAAATTAAAATTCCACAAAAAAACCATGAACCATTAGAGAATATAATCCCGGAATCCAGACCTTTATTTGATTTCAAAAATCCCGGGATTGATAAATAACTAATCCTGGGATTTTCGGGATTGAGTATTAAATATACTAATATAGAAAATATATAAACAATATTATATTATTTTGTGAGTATTTCAGTGATTAATAAAAAAAAATATCAAAAGAATAAATAGTCAGATAAATGATCAAAATAATGAAAAAGAAGAACTATTGCAAAATTATTTTTTTATTGCATATGGCATGGTATTGGTGTACAACAAAAAAATAATAACGGAATATAATAAAATAAAACAAAAGTGATAACGGATTAATATAAATATAAATAAATAACTAAAATGCAAATTGATGAACCTATCAAACTAACGTTAAAAGAAAAGTTGAAGCTTGAAATTAATAAAAGTCTAAAACTCTCAATCCTGAAACCGAACCCAAAATCATATTGTCTTTTAAAAACCCAAGAGATGTGTCTATATGTGAATGAAGAAACTCGTGGGCATCAATTAACATTAGCATTTAAATATCTAATATCCATTCCTCCCACTAGAATTGAACCGGAACGTGCGTTTTTAACAGTTGCATAAAATACACGAGAAATAAACTAAGAAACATATTCGGAGACAAGAGATTAGATGGTTTGATTTTCTTTCAACCATACTTTCAAAATATTTCTATTAAATATAACTATTTTTCTATTTTTTCTATTTATTATTCATATATTATTGTCTATAATACATAATATTATAAATTGCTAAAATTATGTTAAAATATATACATGCATAATAAAAAACATTTAATTTTCAAATGTGCTTGTCAAAAAAACACCCGCTCGAGGTTGTCAAAAAATGTACTTCAAATTAAAGCTATAATAATAATAGCTTTAACTATCAGTAAAAATAAATTAATAATTTCATTATTATTTAGGGTGCCCACACCCGCTCAAAATAGAAAAAAAAAAACATTTAATTATTTTAAATATGTCACAAAATTATAATTAATAAAAATATACTTTACAGTTAGGTAGTATCATCTAAAATTCTCTCTAAAGTACCTCTCTAGTGAAATTTCCTTTTAGAAACAATGCTATCATTAAAATTTGGAGCAAAATTACTGGTAGAAAAGTTGTGTACAAAAAAAAAAAAAGAAGGCTGTAATATATTTCAGTTGCGGTTACATATGATGTACAAGGAGGGGGGCGAAATCAAAGCCACCCAATTACATTTTATACATATAAACATATAGTATATACATATAATATGAAATATACATACGGATTACAGGTATAATAATATTTATATATTAATACATTTTAATATTAATGTATATCAAAAGAAAGATAATCTATACGTATAAAATAACATGTCTCAACTGATTCATCATCGCTTAGCCCAAACTACTGGACGGATCGGACTGAAATTTGACATATAGATAGCTGTTATGACGTGAGCATCCGCTATAAAAGGATTTTTGAAAATTCAACCTCTAAGGGTGTAAAATAAGGGTTTTTAGGCATATTTGATACGAATATATAATTGCATATTTATTTATTTTTGTTTATTACTTTAGTGATAGAGATGTTAATTTGGTTGTCACAAATAAGAAAACTATTATAATTATAATTATTACTTTTATTTATGCTATTAAAATTTCACAAAAGAACACATATAGTCCGCTGAAAGTGGACTACCCACTTTCCACCTAAATGATTTCATTCAATTCTAACACGGTCAAAATCAAAAATGATTATGGATAAAAAT